GCAGGGAGCCCGATGCGGGACTCGATCCTGGGACTCCAGGATCATGACCCGAGCCGAAGGCAGTCGCTTAACCAACTGAGCCACCCAGGCACCCTAATTGGAGCTTTTTAAAGCCTCCTATAGGTATCTCATTCCCCAATGTTTCCTTTTAAGTTTTTTTGATCAGCATCTTGTTAGCCCCTCCTGGTATTGCCACCTCAGGCAGTTGTAAAGTAATACTAATACTTTCAGCAGACACTCTGGGGATAGTATTGTTTGCACAGTATGTATGAGCTCTGATACGGGTGAAAAATAACAAATCCTGTTAATGGAGCTTTTCCGGGGAGCTTCCAGACTAGTCAAATAGTGACAGTTCTCTGGGGATGGGTTTTTTGGTAGCTTCAAATCACTTCTGCCTCCTTCAGTGGCTGCTAGGCTACCATGGTTGTGGGGCTGTTGTCTTTGAACCCCACCATTAGGCTAAGGATATGGGGATGGGGATAGGTCAAAGTAAAATGTCACAAAGCTCACTATCTTTATGGAGATTTAGCTATTTTTACTTCTCAGACTACTGTAAGCCCTTGTTTCATTTCTAGAGTTCTGCAGAGGTTACTTTTTACAAATTTTGCCAGTGTTCTCGTTGCTTTTATGGAGGAGCAGATTTTCCAAGATCTTTACTCAGCTATTCTAGAAGTGTTTTCCCTGCCAGTTTGTTTTTAACTGAGTTATTTGCAAGGCTAACGAATTCTACAACTCCAGTGCCATTCACATAAGGAGTCCATCTGAGAAGCTTCCCCCAGAGGGAGCAGTCTGCACCCTCTTGTAAGTTTGCTTTTTTCTTATTAATTTATTAACTTGTAGAAGTTCTTTAAATACTCTAGTGAATAGTCCTTTGTCATTTTCATGTGTTGCAAAACTTTTACCTGTTTGTGGCTATTTTTTCTTCTCCCACCTTTATGGTCTTTTAATGAAGTTCTCACTTTTATAAGATTTTGAATTTCTCAATATTTTCCTTTATGATTTATACTTTTTGTTTTCTCATTAGTGGAGTTTTTCCTTACCCCCAATGTTTTCTAGATATCCTCCTTTTTTTTTTTTTCTAACAAGTTCCTACTGCTGCATTCCCATTTTCTACCTGGAGTTGATTTGTATGTGATAGGCTTTAGGAGTTCAGTTTCACATTTTTCTATATTGGATATTCGATTGCAGCAAATGTCACTTCTCACTTTACTGGTTTGCTGGACCAGCCCTGTCCTAAGTCAGTTTCTGTCTATGCAGGGGTCTCTTCATAAACTCTGTTTTTTCTTGCTCAGTTCTTCTTAACCTATGGCAATAACACCTTGTTCTTTAGGAATGTCTTGAATGGTCTGAGCCTTTTGCTCTTCTATTGAATTTATGGCTCAAATGAAGGAGAAATAACACCTTCAGATGTTGATTCTTCCAAATTATGAACATGATAATGTATCTATTTATATAGATCTTCTTAACTCTTTCAGAACAGTTTTATCATTTCCTCTCTAAATCTTATACATCTGGAATTTGATTTATTTCTAGGCTCTTTATATTTCTTAAGCTATGGAAAAATGGTATTTAAAAAAATTAATTTTTAATTGTTGCAGATCTATAGGGGTGTAATTCCTTTTTCTGAACCGTGTGTATATTTTGTATACAGATTCTGTGTCCAGCATCCTATATTTGTTTTTCTTGACTTACTGTGCCAGCAAGTTGCAGATCTATAGGGGTGTAATTCCTTTTTCTGAACCCTATGTATATTTTATATACGGATTCTGTGTCCAGCATCCTATATTTGTTTTTCTTGACTTACTGTGCCGGCAAGGCCCTCCAACTGAAAAGAAGTAGTGATAACAGGATACTTTACCCTGATCTAAAGGAAATAGTTCAGCATTTTACCATTAAGTATAATGTTGTTGTTGTTTTTTTATAGGTTTTATGTAGCAAGCCTTTGTTAGGTTAATGAAGTTCAATTCCTTTCCTAGTTTTATAAGAATTTAGTTTTATTTTCTTATCACAAATGGATGTTTGATTTTTATCATGCTGCTAGAAAGGAAGTCCTAATCATTAAAATTTTTAAAATTTTATTTTTCTCTTTCCTATAGCAAAGAAGTTTGTCATCCTGATATTGGTGGCAAGATCATCATGTGTCCTCAGTGTGATCAACATTGTCCATTCTGGAATCTTAATATTACTTGCGAGTCCTCAAAGGTAATTTTTGTTACTCTAAATATTTGCAAATAATGGAAGATTTTTTTTTCTTCTAATAATTTTAGCACAGCCTGGAATTATTTTTTTTTCTGTGAAATTCAGAAAAGGTAATTTTCAAATAAGCCTCCAGATATTCTGAAAGATAGACATGGAATGTATGTGTTTATTCCTTTTTTACAAATAGGAAATTGAGATGAAAAGCCTTATCTAAAATCTTCGGGTGGGTCAGTGAGGAACTGCAGAATTGAACTATTGTAGTATTTGAAGTAATCAAAGCAGAAATTTCAAAACCAGCTTATCTCATGAATACTGTTTAATAGGTTTACTTATTTTCCTTAATTCAAGTGAGTAGAAACCTGATATTTGTACTTGTATTTTTCCACTTCCAAGGTGTGCTGAAACTATGCTACGTTTTTTTTAAAAACCCTGATCATCAGATTTAGGCTCTGTCTATGACTATGCATAAGAAAGTCTTTGTATATAAATGATAACAGATACTCACTTTGTCCCAAAACATTCCCACAAAACACACCTGGTTCCCTTAAACATGCTGAAGATCTTGAGCTATATGACTTGTTAAAATCCAGGACCTTTAGGACAAGTATTGAGACTAGAGGTAGCTTACTGAAAGGCATTCCACAAACTCTAGCTGGAGAGAAAGATGGTCATCTTGCTTTGGAGAATTTTCCTGACAACTTTGACCTACTGTTCTCCCATGTTGTGATCTTTTCTCTATCCCCTTGTTCCACCATGAAAACTTAGGAATCTTAAATGACTTCAGAATATTCCAGCCTACTCCATCAGAGTCTTACTTAAACCAAATACATTCCTATTATAATGTCACTTAAAATTTATATTTTGAAAGATTCTTGACCTTTTGACACAACAACCCTGTGAAGTAGGCAGAACAGGTACTACCTCCATTTTACAGATTAAAACACTGAGGGTCTGAGAGATTAAATAATTAGCTCAAGGTCACCCACCTAGTAACTGACAAAGCCAGAAATTGGGAGCAAATCTGCCTTTCTTGCCATTACTGTGTTCCTCACCAGCTGACAATAGTAACAGCCACTTCACTCACAAATTGAGCACTGTGTTTGAAAAACGTTCCACTACTTAATTAAGATGATTGCAGGGTATTGTCGACACATGGAGTTTTACTCTTAATTTATGAATTAAAGTAGATTTCTTTGCCTGTCCCCCAGAAATGAACACAAATTCTAGACTTTAAAAATCTGTCATAAATCACATAAAGTAAAAGACTTGAAGCTAGCAGGAGGGATGCTGCCTTCCAGCGATGTTGACTCATAAAGGTCACTAGTTAGCACATATCCCTGGACACTGGGTCTAAGGCAAATGCCAGTGATAATGCCAGAGGCAAACTATACTCCACAAAGTACAATTGGAAATTTCATTTTCTTTAAGAAATTCTCTTTCAAAACACCACGCCCCCATCTCTTCTCTCAGTTCTTTTCCACCGACCCATCCCTAAACACGTGACTTTCAAATATGTCCCTGTGTATATTTTTTTTTCATTGTTTTGGAAAAAATGAATCTTTTATTCTATCCTAATTTCCTAAAGAATCCTTTGAATCTTGTTAGGTGATTTATTCTTTCATATGCCTCCTTCCCTTTGTAAAAGAATTACATTTTAAAAATTTTAAAGAGGAGAAAAAGAAAGCAGCTTTCCATGTCTTTCTGTTGGTTAATTCAATCATTTCTTTATTCATACATTTATATATTCGTTTCTGCCTCTTTCTTTTGGAAAGAGAGTATTCACTAATGGACATGAGTGCTAAAAGGGTTAATAAATTAGAAATAGAAAATTATGATCAAGGAAGTGAGGGAACAGTTATGGAGATAATCAGGATTAATGTTGTTTTTGTGATTGAGCATTAAATAAGGTTCTTAGCTTTTTGGCTGGCAAGATAAAAGGGAAATGTGGTAACTTAAAATATTTTGTTCTCAGAAATACATTGTTATAAAATTTTGATTTTGTTCCTTTGCAGGAAGAAACACAACAAATGGTCACTTTTCTAGATTTTCAGTGGTTCCTCTGCTTTAAAACATCATGCCCTGCATATGCAGCCATCTTTTTTCTTTCCTGTTCTATGTGATTAAAGCAGGATGCTGACTGGGGTTGTTCTTAACACAACTGTGTTTCCTTGTCTGCCCTCCTGGCAAGCAAACTAAGCTGAGCTTTTTACCAAGAAAGCCCCTTGCTCACCTTCTCCCCTGATTCCTGCTTATGGGATATATAGAGAAGCCAGCCATCTTGTTCTTTCTGCTGAGTCCTCGATCCTCACAAATGTGGCAAAAATGGTAACTTCATCCAGGCCACCTAACTCCATCTCACAGGAGTGCAAAGCACATCCCTTATCTTGAGCCAGGCAACAGGGTTGATCTTGGCATTAGTGGTAAACCTGCTTTTTCTTGCTACTCCTATTTTTTTTTTCTTTCACATTGACATAAGCATCCACTGGCTTTTTCTCAACATGGTAGGGCAAAGAATTCATGGGTAGGGTTTTTTCTTTCTGGAGTAGGTACTCAGAGGTATCAGGGCAAGTAGGGAGGTATCAGCTAGAGGCTTACAGTGATTCCTAGGAGTAGCATTGGACAGAATCTTCAGTAATACCATTATAATGCATGGAACATTTACTTACTGTTCTGCATAAGACTTTACTTACAGTAATTTTCACTGAGGGATAAGGCATAACATTAAATGAGAGCTTTGGTTCCATAAGAGTCAAAGGTGAAAGATTTGAAATATTAGTCCATGGAATGCCAAGACTAGAGGAATAGGTGGGTGCAGTGTTCCCCAGAGTGGCCACTCACTTCTTAATTCTGTCTTCCTTAAGTGATTTTTGAGAGGAATAGTTGGGTAACAGTTTGGGATTGTGCTTTCTGATCAGGTTCAGATAGAGGATTGAGGGACATCTGTATGCTTTGGAAAACACACGTACAAGACGATGGTTAAGTGGATATTCTTTTATGAAAATAACATTTTCACATAGATGAAAGTTTACCAACTTTATATCAGTTTATAAAGGGCAACCAAAAAAGTTACTTAAAGAGTTTCCTTAGAAGCGACTTTGAATTTTCTTTAGCAATTGAAAAGTTTGGGTTTTTTTTTTTTTTAAATCCTATAGCTACTTTTTGTACGCTGTCTTCTTTATTCTTCATATGATCTGTATGATCTTTCATAAAGTTGATATTCTACATGTTTGCCTACTTTTTCCAGTACCTTCATACTTCATAGATTTTTTAGGGTATGTAAAAATGCTCACTAGTGAAAAATTAGTAACTAATTGAAAGATTTTCCAGGAATCCCGAAAGGGAGATAGGTTATTTATATACTAGCAAAAAAAAAAAAAAAAAGAAATTTAGCAGAACTAGTGAATAAAGCCTTCTTTGTACAGGTATATCATCTATTCATTCATGGTTGCACCCATTGTAATGTCAGCAACAGTCCCTGTGCCTCCTTAATCTCATGGAAGCCTCCGTCATTGATGGTAGAAAAGCCATCATTGGGTTTGGGGAAACACCTCTCCTTGGGCAGAGCCATCTCAGAATAAACCCCAGCCTTGTGCTCTTCTTAGCAAGAAAAGCAAGAACTCAGTAACTTATCATCTGACCAGGATGAGGTGATGATAAGATGCAAATTGTAAATCCAGAAGTTGCTTAGAGTTCCTTGTATTTGTAGAGCTATACACTTCAAGTTCACTAAGACAGCTTGTAAGAAGAGGCCATCATTCAAAAGTCTGATACTTTAAACTGAATGGAATCTTAATAGCTATGCCAATTTCTTTATCACGATATGGAAAATGCGCTGTGGTAAATACAGCAAAGGCTCTTTGCTTTCAAAACAACAAGAAATCCCATCTGCAAGTATGTAGTAGATATGGTGATTGTTAAACTAGGTATCAGCTTTAAAAGCAATTCAGACTGTAGAATACACAAAGCATTGCATATTTGCTGAATGCTAGTGAGTAGAAAACATGATTCAGTTATATGTCATTATTGTATTTTCCAGAAATTGTGCATCTTTGATAGTTTTGGAACCCTAGTGTTTGCAGTATTTATGGGAATATGGGGTAAGTTACTTTCCTTTATTTTTTTGTTTACTTTTACGTCTTAACATTAAAAAAAACAAAAACCCTGAGATCATACAAGCAGCTAATTTAATACCATTTCACAGTTTGATATGAGCTATCAAAGTAACCCACTTTTAGGACCTTGGATTGCCTAAACTTCAGCTCCCCTAGAACTCCATTTACAATCCTTAAGGCCATTGTACGAGTTACCGCATAAAAAAACTACTTCAAAATGTGGTTGCTTAAAACACACATTTAGTATTTGTCTTGTTCTCTGCATCATCTGGGAGGTCCTTCTCCAGTCATGTACTGGCTCAGCTGATGTGTGCAGTGAGCAAGCAGTTCTACTGGGGTAGATGGTCTGGCAGTTGCCAGGCTGGTTTGGTCTATGGGGCTCACTGTGCTGGCTTGTATTGCTCTACATGATGTCCCATCCTCCAGTGAGCTAGTCCAGGATTCTTCACATGGTGGCTTTAGACTTCCAAAGAGAAGCAAGAGAGGGCAAGCCCCAATGCACATTTTTTGAGTCTGCATTTGCCTCAAGTTTGTGAATGTCCCATCAGCCAGAACAGGTCATGGCCAAGCCAACAACAATGTGAGGAGGTGGGAGGATTATCCAGGTGCTTGGATACAGGGAGGCATGGTTCATTGGGAGCCATTATTGTAACAGTCCCCACAGCTGTGATCCACCCTGACTTACGTGAGGTTGGGGTTCAGGGAAGCAACACAGGAATTACAGGTGAGCTTTCTTCTTTATATTCTTTTATATGAGTGAGTATTTATTAAGTATGTGTTACTCTTATAATAGTAAATAATAATAAATTCTGTTTAATAAGTAGAATAGATATAGTCCTAAAGAATATAATTCTTACGTAGATGCTTTAACACTATAGTTACATTGTTTACTTTGAATACCATCATTGTAATGAGGCAACTATTTCCTCTAAATGCAGATATTTAAATGTTCAATTAATGTAAGTGTTCTACCATAGAACAAAAAAATTCCATTTTCAAAAAAAAATCCTTTCCAATTTTACTGTGTAAGTTAAGGGGGAAATAGAGCTCAGGTTATAGATAGTTGGGGGAAGAAACTGACTCAAGTCTCTCATTCTTGAGAAGACAGCACATGAACTCATGCAGCTCACAGTGCTTTTTACATGTCCTTGAGATGTTTCTCTTCTGCACTGGTTGTGCCTATTAGAAGTCACCAGATAGATCACAGAACAGATGATCCAACTGTTCTGGACACTTTTTAGAGATTAGTTGCCACTCCTGGATAAAGCGAACTTTAAGATGGCCAAACTTATCTACAAAGTTACTGTCCTTCAGACATTTAGCTATGTTCTGGCTAGAGACCAAAACTAGCTAATATTTGACACATAGAAAAATAAAGATCAAATTTGTGGATTAAAATCCTCTGTACTCCTCTGTTGTAAACTATGTCATCCCCCCCACCCCCGCCAGTAAGAGCCCAGGTACTGAACACATGGGTGGTGCTCACTTTTACTTATTATCCTAACCTTTGTCTCAGCCCTGATTTGTAATGTAAAAAATTCTAACACATCTGTTGAACTCCATATACTAATGGATGTTGACAGGCCTAATTTAGAAATATATATTTTTTAAGATTTTATTTATTCACTTTAGAGATAGAGAGAGAAAGAGCATGAGCAGGGGGAGGAGCAGAGGGAGAAAGACAAGCAGATTCTGCAGTGTGCGGGGAACCCGATGCAGGGCTCAATCCCATGACCCTGAGGTCATGACCTGAGCTGAAATCAAGAGTCAGACACCACCCAGGCGCCCCGAAATACATTTTAAATAAAACAAAAATATAAATTAACTTTAGCACTGGAAAGACAAACCTCCCATTTCCTAGCTAACCTTGCTTTATGTGATCATTAACTATACCATGTTTATAGAACTGACTTAAGCATATTGAGCTGATTTTATGTCATCAGATTTTAGAATGCAGAAAACATTTCAACATTGCCTGTGACATCATGTGTGTATCCTTAAGGATATGTACGTATGACGAAGTCTTTAAGTGTCTTATATTGCCTTTCCTGCTACATCTGCCTTATGAGAACGATTGCTCTGAACTTGTTACAGAAAATCAGAAATTGCAGAACCAAAGAGGCAGGAGGACCATGTGAAGTCTTTTATGTCACCACTATTCATATTCCTGTAGCATCTCCTGTGTGCTCAGATCGATCAGAGTATTTTTACTATGTTCCTGCTCCCTAGGAATTATAAAAGTTGAGGGTCGAAAACCTTTTGTAATAAATGTAGTACAAATCATGTACTTATCTGAATAATGTCCACCCTTTTAGGCCCAGCCAGCCAACACATTCATACTGACTCAAGTCCTAAACACCAGCCCAAGGCTAAAGTGCCAGTTCTTGACATCCACTTCTCCTTACTGCTTTGTTACTTTGTACCTACTTACTGGATTCTCCCTGGCTCCAGGCTCTCGGCTGCATTTTTAATTTTCACCTTTGAGTTCTGGGCTGGGCCTAGTGGTTTCCAGAAAAACACCAGACACTTGGTTTATGGGGAGCTAGGGAATCAGGAATGCAGTACCCTAACCAACTATACTTGGAGATCAGGAAACAGCTGTTGCCAATTAGTTCCAGAACTATACTGCTCCTGCTGTATCCACATCAGCAAAATAATGCAGCTCCTGCAACCACCTCTGCCTCCACTCCACTCAGTTTCTGATTTAAGTGACACACACATGCACCTGATGGGCATTTTATAAAATCACACCAGGAACCCGAGCTGCAAGAGAGTCTGAAAAAAAAAATGTATTTTTTTTTTTCAACCTAGTCTTTTAGTTGGGAAGTTGGAATAAAGGCTGAGCAAATTCATCTGCCTTACTCAGCTTTGTGAATAAAGACGTCTGAATAGTTTCAAGGCCCAATAAAATTTGCCTCTCCAGCAGCAAACTTATAGCAACTGGAACACTACCATGTGCTAGTGTGTGCCCCTTGTCCTTGGACAGTGCTGGATGTAACCACCAGTGCTGTCTGTGGCTGTCTTCTTCATGTGGTGCATCCCTCCAGTAGATGTCATGATACTATGATTGAGAGGACAAACTGTTCTTGATTCCCAAGGTCCTAGGCAGCTTTCCCTCTTCTCTCATTACATGTTGATGTAAGAGTCCTAATTGTGTCTCTGTAATCAACACGAGCCTCATGGTGTGTGGTTTGCCAGAGAACATAAGTACAGTGCTCCCCACCAGAGGGAGAAAGATCAAAAGACACAGAGCAGGAAATTCCTGTTTGACATGGCACACAGTCACCCGAGGTCCTGGTGCCCTCAGTGGGGGACACAGAGCAATGTGAATCAGCAGTGATGTCGTCCAGGATCACTGTAACACCGTGGGTGGTTATAATACATGACCAGTGTATTCCCTGGACTCTGCAAAGTAATACCCAAAGGTTTTTTAGACTTCACCTTCCAATACCCCATTACCGCTTGGCGGTAGGCAGCTTGAGGAAGTACCACATAGTGAGTAAGCACAGCTTGGGCTCTGGAGCCAAGAATGCCTGGCCTCCAACACTGTCACCTCGGGCAGGTATCTTAACCTTTCCATGCCTCTCTCTCTCTGTGTCTAAAATGAGGAGAGTAATAGCAGTTGCCTCCAAATTGGGGGGAGGGCTTTTACATAGATGATGTCATTAAGCTCGCAACAGCCCTGTGAGGTAGGTCCTACTGCCCCCATTTCACAGAATGGGAAATGGGGGGGTTCAGAAAGTTGGAACATGTTGACCAGTAGTCACACATATAATAATCGTCGGAACCAGGATTTGACCTCGATTCCAGCATCCAGCTTATTTCTACTCTGACTCATCACTCCTGGAAAATTAGTAAACGCAAAACAAACACTGCTGGAAGCAAGTGCTTTACCCATTTCAGCTGCCTTCACCGTCGGGGACTGCGGAGTTCCTGCCACTCACGGCCACGTCCCAGGATTTCCTCCTGCATCTCAGGCCACCCATGGGCGGGTGGGCTGCAGGACGTCGGGCCAGCCTCTCTCTGCTGTCTCCTCTTGCAGTTCTCAACTCTGACTGATGTAGACCTTTTAAGCAGAAACAAAACACAGTGCTCATGCCTTATTCTAGTCCAATAAAGTCAGAAACTCAGGGGTGGTGCCTGGGCTCAGTGTTTTGTTTTGTTTTGTTTTTTTTAAAGCTCCCAAGTGCTGTTCATGTGCAGCCGCAGTGAGAGCTACCCCTCTCCACCTCATTTAGTGATCTCATCCACTCATGGCCTCAGTTACTGCTTTAAAAAGTTTCCGGCTCAGCCTAGATCTTTCTCCCGAGTTCTAGATGTTTACCTACCTACTGGGTGTCTTTCCTGTGGCCCAGAGGCACCTGATAGAACCAAACCTGTTGGCTTCACTCCTCTTACTGCCCTTTTTATTATGGATAATGGCCCTAGAATGTAGGGCATCACAAGCCAGAAACCCGGTTGGCATCCTAGACCTTTTCCTCCCCTTTACACACCTGCATCTAAACTACCTGCCAAACATGCTGTCTTCTCTCTCCTCCCCACCTAAGCAGGCCTCATCATGTACCTGCCAGCAGGTCTCCCTGCCTCTAGTCTCTCTAGAACCCCTGCAGTGTCCCCTCTAACTTGAAGTTACAAAAGGGTAACTTAAGGCATAGAGTCCTTCGTGATGTGCCCCTGTCATCTCTCCACTGGCTTCCCCACGCTCCTCGTGACAGTGTGCACTCACTTCCAGATATTTGCCGTTTCTAGAAAGTACTCTGATTCTCTGGCTTCCTTGCCTTTGCATGTGCAGCTCCCTCAGGGGAGGTGGCCTTAATGTCCCACCTTCACCTGATCAACTCTAACTCAATCATCTCTCTGAGAGAACCTCGGCCACACGTTGGTCACATGTTCTGGCTCCACGCCCAGAGCCAGCTGTGCTTAAGTTGATCATAGCCCTCACTGGTCTACTGTAACTATCACGTCACAATAATTTCTGCACACCTAGGAGCTCCTTGAAGCAGGGCCTGTGTCTTTTTTGGCACATAAAAATACTTGTGTGTGGAACAGTAATAAATCCAGAATTTCTGTATGGGAATGGCACAGGGGTACCAGTCTGATCAAAAGAGGGTCTAAGGGATTTACCCTGAAACTACATTTTCAAACAACATTTCATATTGTTTCTGTGTAGTATTTTAAGTTCCAAGCTTTGAAATATAGTAAAGAGTTCTAAAAATTATTTTAGCTGCACAATCTTGTGTGCATCCCAACCAGAAGGTGGGGCAGTCACCGAGGCTTAGAGCAACACAAAGGGCAGCTCCTCTAGGATGAAAAAGGGGTTGTAATAATGTGAGGCATGTGAAAATTTGAGGATCAACTATAAAATCCAATGTGTCCTTATACAACTATGTCATAGAGTCTAATTGATACTTCACACAAGGTTGAAAAAAATATCAGTTTTCCGTATTTAAGAATATTAATTTAGGCTGGCTTGGGTGGTGGTAAGTAGAGATTTGGGGACTACTAAGGTGCCCCCCCAGGCCCTTAGGAAAGAGGGGGCGGGGGATGTAGGGATGAACAGGCTGAAAGATGGATGGACCATAAACTGTTTTTGAATTGTGGTAGTTATCTGTCTTTCTTAGTTTGCATTTACTAATTTTCCAGGAGTGATGAGTCAGAGTAGAAATAAGCTGGATGCTGGAATCAAGGTCAAATCCTGGTTCCGACGATTATTATATGCGTGACTACTGGTCAATAAAGACGCCTTAGCATTAGACACACACACATGCCTTCTGCCCATCATGTTATTACCTTTCCCATGGCTGTAGTCTGTTTTCACAAGTTGAATAAATTATCAGCGTCATCTTTAAAAAAATTAACTTCTCTCAGGGCACCTGGGTGGCTCAGTCAGTTTGAGCGTCTGCCTTCAGCTCAGGCCATGATCCCAGGGTCTTGGGAGAGAGCCCCACGTCGGACTCCCTGCTCCGCGGGGAGCCTGCTCCTCCCTCTCCCTCTGCCTGCCTCTCTGCCTACTTGTGCTCTCTTTCTATCTCTCTGTCAAAATAAATAAATAAAATCTTAAAAAAAAAGTTAACTTCTCTCTTTTAAACGTTAGTATCATCCTGTATGTTAGACTTTACTGACTGTATAAAAGTGTTTTGGGTAATTAGAACAATTAATAACTTGGTACAGATTTCTGAAACATCAGTCATCACTGATGAGCTACATGCTTGTGTTCTCTGTTAGTCACCTTGTTTTTGGAGTTTTGGAAGCGGCGCCAGGCGGAACTTGAGTACGAATGGGACACTGTTGAGTTACAGCAGGAAGAGCAACCCCGGCCAGAATATGAGGCACAGTGTACTCACGTGGTGATCAATGAGATTACTCAGGTAAAGAGAATGTTATGTAGATGCAATTTAGTCTGTTTATACAGTGGTTCTCAACCCTGGTGGCACATTGTAATCACCTGGGGACCTTGGAAAGTCTTGATGCCCGGGTCCCATCACTATATACTCTGGTGGTACTTCGTGGCCTGGGGTATATCCTGGGCACAGGGATTTTGTAAAGCTTCTCTGGTGATTCTAATATGCAGCCAAGGTGAAGAAGTATTGCTTAGAACGGTGGACATAGGAGATAAATGTGACACCTTCTTTCATAATAAAGTAAAATCGGGAAAAAAATTAGACTCCAACATAAAATGTAGAAGAAAAGATGCATTGGTCTGTGTCCTTTCTTTCATATTGATAAAAAATGCAAAATAGAAAAATTAGACATTATTACAACCCCTTTTTCATCCTAGAGGATCTGCCCTTTGTGTTGCTCTAAGCCTCGGTGACTGCCCCACCTTCTGGTTGGGATGCACACAAGATTGTGCAGCTGTTATCCAAAAGTTGGAGAAAGGACAGAGGAAGAAGGGAAACATTCATTGAAATTCAACTATGTTTAGGGCTGTGTGAGGCATTTTATATAATTGGAAAGGTAAATTTGCTTCTGCTACTGCTGCTACAAAAATAAAAAAATAAAACTATTTCTCTCTCTCTCTCTTATGTATATATATTCCAAAGCCAGTGAAAGATAATTTTTGAATCATCTGCATTATTGCTCTTTTCCATCAACACAGAAAATCTAGAGCTGATTGTACTTGCAGTCATCAGCATAAGGACAGTCAATTCTGAATACGAATAATTCTTGGAAAGAAAATGCTTTTACCCAGAGCATCGGAAAAATGTCCCAAAGTATAGATTGTATAAATTGAATCACAGATGTATAGAATGCCAACACTAAAAGGGACTGGAGGGAGCAGTTCAACCTCCTCATTTTATAAATGGAAAAAAATGAGGTTCAGTTATCAACAGGAGGTGACATTTGTCTTTTACAATGTGACAAGCTTCAAATAATTCCCATTATGAATCACTCTCACTGTTTACTATGGGAGATGATGAAGTCAAACCATGTGTTGTTGAAAGACTATACATCCAGAAATGAAAGCAGAAACTTAGATAAAATTAGATGTTGAAAACAACTTTTAAATACTGAAAAAAAAAGCTTATAATATTGGCAACATAGAAAAAGTACTGAAGAAAAGAAAATTTAGTAACTTAAAATTGCCAATAAGTTAAATTTCCTTTGAAACACTGCTTGTTAAAAAATTGAAGATGAAGGGTCATTTTCCTTTTGTTGCTAATGCATCCTCCATTGGTTTAGAGAGCCTAGAGTGTGGTAATGAAGTGTTGGGAATGAGACTGCCTGCAAATCCAAACACAGCAACTTAATAGCTGAATAATCTTCGACAAATGATTTAACTTCAGTATGCCATCGTTTCCTCAACTATAAAAATGGGAATAATAGAGTTGCTTCCTCACACGGTTGTGTAAAGGGTTAATTGAGTTAATGTGTAGAACCTACTTAGAATAGTACCTGGCATAGAATAAATGTGTAAGTGTTTATAACTATTACTATGCTACAGTTGCTTGTATAATCCAGGTAAATCTTGAGAAGTATTGATCTCTTCTCTTAAAACTTAAATATATTCTTTTTTTTTTATTTAAAGATTTTATTTATTTATTTTGACAGAGAGAGACACAGCGAGAGAGGGAACACAAGCAGGGAGTGGGAGAGGGAGAAGCAGGTTTCCCGCGGAGCAGGGAGCCCGATGCGGGGCTCGATCCCGGGACCCTGGGATCATGACCTGAGCCGAAGGCAGACGCTTAACGACTGAGCCACCCAGGCGCCCCAAAACTTATATTCTTATAGGCCATGGAAACTCTAAAAATTCATAGCTATACCAAATCAATATATAAAGCTCAACCAAGAAACACATAGTGGATACCTAGTATTTGCAGACACCCGTGGAACTTCCTGTCCTCTATGGGCTCTACGCCGTCCTTGCTGCCATGTCTAACATCTCAGACAAGCTCAGGAATGTAGCTCTACAGCTTAGCATTGTCAGATACCCAGGCTCCTGAGCTAAGGTCATGGCAGATAAACAGTTCATTATTCATGCTTGCATTTTCAGAAGACGTTAAAATGAGCACTGCAGATGCCTTGTTGTGCGTATGTTTGAAATTAACCAAAAAAAAAAAAAAAAAATTCAGTTATGAGGAAGGGGGCTATGTTTGAAAACTAATTTTTAAAAAAATTAAGCCTAGGATTTAGAGACCAATCAGGAGAAAAAAAATCATTTCACCAGAGTACTCCTTTGATTGACCAAACTTTTTTTTTTTTTTTTTAAAGGAACATGAGCGTGTACCCTTCACTACCTGGGGAAAATGTGTCCGTATAACCCTCTGTGCAAGTGCTGTCTTATTCTGGGTAAGTCTATCACAGACTTTTTAATATCTAATTGTAAATATCCAGGAAACTCAAGGCAAGCTGGAAACTCTGTGTCTCATAGAATTGTTTCCAGAGAACCTCTCGGCCACCACATGGAGCGGCTCTCAGTATCTATCCACTCGCGGTGGCTCTTCCAGTTCCTTTCACCTCATCTGTTTAAATCAGATGAGTGGGTCCGGATTTTCCGGTTTCTGGTGAAGAAACCAAATGGGAGGCAACTAAAATACAATGTCTAGGAATAGCCTTAAAAAATAATAGGAACTATCAAAGAAAACATAAAAACTACTGAAAGATATAAAAGAAGACTGAAACAAATGATTGTAGATAAAAAGATAATATTTCTAAAATAGCAGGACTTATAAAATTAATTTTGGGTTTTATTATTAATAAAGTCATGGTAGTAATATAATAATTAGTAATATATTGAGAGTTTTATTGGCTCAAGAATAGCCAAATTAGAAAAGAGGATGTAAAGCCCAGATATGGGCCCTCATATCAATAATAATTTAATATATGAGAAGGGAGGCATTATAACTCAGTGGGATTATTTAATAAATGGCAGTGGAACACTTGTTAGCTCTTTGGGAAAAAAATAAAAATTAAAACCATACTTTGAATACATATTATAATTCCAGAAATATTCAAAAGGTAACACCACAAACCAGAAATAAATATTGATGAATATGCAATCTCTAGATTAAAAAAAAAACTTTCTATACATAACAGCAGTGGAAGAAGTTTCAGAGGAAAATCTTTAAAGATTTCTACACATCAGTAGCATTCTAAGCTTAAACAAAACAGAAGATATTTTTGTTAACAAGGGCAAAGGGTTAATACCTTCAATACATAAGAAGTCCAGATCACTTGTAAGGTAACACCAAAGATCTCAAGAGCTAAGGAGGCAGAGAACAGGAACACCCTTTCACAAAAGAAAAAATACCCTGGCAAATGTCAGAGCTCAATACTAATTAAATCAGCGCCCATTTAAATGAGATACAGTGTTTCACCTCTCAAGTGAGAAGGCTTAGTGTTTGTGAGGATGAAGTGCAGTGATCAGCTACTCTCCTACCTAGGCTTTGAGAATTTTAAGCTGCCCTGGACTTCTTAGAAAGCAGTTTGGTAGTAAGTTTCATGAGTCACAAATATTCATGTGCTTTAATCTACTAATTCAGCTTTTAAAAACCTTTAATAAGGAAGTATTTCAAAATGGTAAGAAAAGTCAGTAAAGATTTAGTCATATATTTATTACAAATATATACATTTATTTCTGTTATTTATTTGTATGCATTATTATATATAAAAATATCTCAGCCAAAATATCCTACTTCTAATCCTTCATACAGTAGAATATGGTATAGCAATAAGAAAGTATGTTCATGAAAATATTTTATGACATGTAAAAATGTTATGGTTATGATAGGCTTAAGGAAAGGATAAAATATGTAACATCATCTTTAATATGCAAACAGTGCATAATTCTGAAGGAATTATGCCTACATATAGATAGTACATAGATTTTTCTCTTTATTTTTTATTCTTTATTTTTATTAGTTAGGAGTCGTTTAGTTGTAGGTGATGGAAAATCTCCAGTTGGTTTAAACAACAACAACAAAGTGAGGGTGGGTAGCATTTATTGGTTCCTGTAACTAAAAATCCCAGGTCTGAGGTATGGCTTCCATGAAGGATAGATAACTGCAGCCCAGATGACACCATGGTCTGTGTGTTTTGTTCTGCCTTCATTCTGTGTCCAGTGGTCTCCTGGCTTGGTGGTTGTAGGCACTACCTTGTCTCAGAATGGCTGCAGGATTCCAGATCTCACATCACATGCAAGCCAAGAGAGGTTTCTGTTAGCAGCTTCCTCTATTGACAGAGCAAGCTTCTCTTTCCCATAGACACTAGCAGATCTCTCCTCACATCCCACTGGCTCTTAGTAAATTATTTGTCAGTCCTTGAATCAGTTGCTGAGGCCAAGAGGATGAGATACCTGTTTGTCTCAAACCAATCAGGATATACCTGTAAAGCTGGGGGAACAGGGGGACTGTCCAGCTCAAACCATAGGACTGAAAATGAAGGAGAGGTTATTCCCCCAAAGCAAAATCTGGGTCTTCTTCTAAGACTGGGAACAGATCCAAGGCAGCAAAAGTAACCAGTGTCCACTATGGAGTAATTTCAAATGTTCTATGATCATATGTTAAAGTTATAATCAGAAAAGATGCATAAGGAAGTTGAGAATGAAAATCTTCCTCCCGGGAAGAAATACTGAACCTATCAAGTGCCCTGAAGAAGTATGGAAACATATTAAGTTTGTAAAAGCTCTGAAATGAGTTAGAAATCATTTCCTGACCCATGGAGGAGACAGTGCCATGTAGACTCTGAAGTCTCCACGTACCTCAGTTCTTTCAGTTACTAGTTGCTTAATTTGGATCCAAGTCTTAATCTCTGTGGCTCTTTTTTCTGCTGTAAAAGATACTATACTACCTATCTCATAGGGCTGAGGTTGAGGATTTTAAAAATATGTGTGTGCTGAGGTGAAGAGTAAGCATTTAAAGAATCTCAACTATTATAATTACTTAGTAATTTAAAAAATTATTATGGAGATTTTTAAAAAAATATGTATGATTTAAATGGCCTATGTTTGTTGTGCTCAGAGAGGAAGGCTGGACATACCTTCTCGAATACATTTTTCTCTGCCTGGGCTAATTTTCACATGTACTCACGCACACAAACATGTCATTCCTTTCACAAGTATTAAGCCCTAACTGTGAAGGGAAGGAGATAATGAGGGAAATTAGAAGAGGAAATATCATGCCTTCTCTACACACTGATGGCTTTTTAAAAGTAAGAAAAGCATCTTGTTAACACTTCAGTCACCATATTCACAGCTACCATTTATATAGTACTTTTCATGTGCCTGGGCTTAATGTTCTAAGTGTTTTTACCTGGAGTAACTCATTAAATCCTCCCAACAATCCTGTAAGTTATTTCCCAATAGGATCCCTCGCTATATGGGCAAAGAAATTGAAGCCCCAAAGGTTAAATAATTTGCACAAGGTCCTACAGCTCGAGGCAGAGCTGGGCTTCCAATGCAGGAACCTGGCTCCGGGGCCCCACCTGAAATCTCCCCACAGGTGGAAACCAGCCTCCCTCTGTTGCTGTAAACAACACGACATGATTTGCTTGGCCCTGAAATACACATTCTCGGTAGCTTTTCTCTCTGGTAGCAGTCATCACAAGCAGTCGGGCACATTGACTGCATGCTTTGGAGTAAGTCCAAGAAAGTAGATGTAGGGAAAACAGTTTAAAAAGGGTACCCTTCGGTGTGCATTACTCAGGGGCGGGAGAAAACCTGCCTAGCGAGGAAGTGACATCCTACCACCTACGTACAAACTGGGCTTCAGATGCGCCACCCCCCCACTGACATGGGGTCTGTGCTGGCAAAAATACAACAGATTAGTGAAATGAATCTTGTGCACATGCAGGTATGAATCACTGCCCGTTTCAGATCTTAAGATCTAAGGGTGAAAAGTGTGTGAAGCTTTCATCAGCCGATAACTGCTGTCCTCTCCAAATTCCCTCCGGGCACGTCTGCAGCCTCCCTGGTCCTGTTCAGAATCTCACCTCGTGCAGGTGACTAAGACAGAAGCTAGCACCTACTGGTTCTACTGACCCTTGAACCAGTGTTAGGTTCTCTGTTGGAAAGAAACATGTCCCCTTAATGGATGATAATTAAGCAAAAACTTTAATGCATACCCTACAGAATGCCGTAATTGTAGGAAAGATGTTTTCACGGGTTCTGCTATTCTGCTTTTTCCTCATCTGAAGATACGTTCTTTTTTTTTTTTTTTTAATCTTTTTTAGAGCAGGTTGGGGTTTGCAGCCAAACTGCACAGAAAGTACAGGCTTCCCATGTACTCTTCCCTCCCTATGCAGTTTCTCCCATTGCTAACATTTTCCCTCAGTGGATACACTCTCTTCTGACCTCCATCATTCCTTTCCCTTTTTTGAAATTTAACATGACCAATTTCCACCTGTCTCATGGCAGTTGTGTGAGTCCTGTCACTTCACACATGCACCTTGTCCATTCACACAGAGGGGTGCATTTTGAAATGTAAAAATACTACTCGTGAAGCTCATATTGCTGTGTTTATTGTGCTTCCAGATCCTATTGATCATTGCTTCCGTTATCGGGATCATTGTCTACAGGCTCTCAGTGTTCATTGTGTTTTCTACCAAACTTCCCGAGACCTTAAATGGGACAGACTCAATCCAGAAGTACCTGACTCCACAGACAGCCACGTCTATCACAGCTTCCCTCATCAGCTTTGTCATCATCATGATTCTGAACATCATATATGAAAAAGTAGCCATCATGATTACGAATTTTGGTAAGGTCCTATTATAGCTTAGGTCATTTGTAAGACATTTTTAGAACCTGGTGAAAAAGAGAGTCTGTGTCTCTTAGGCATTTCAATTTCAGTATGTTACAAATTTTAGAAAATTTCAAGTGTAAACATATTTTATCGAACTTGTGTGGGACATGAATTATCTACAGCTTTGCATTAGCAAAAGGGACAAAGCAAAGACAATCATTATAATGTCCAAGCTCTGTGTAAACAGATCAGCGCTGAATAATATTTTCAATTACGTTAGATCACGTACCCTATTGTTGAAAGTAAATAGTCTCTTTATTGCAAATAAGTGGAATAGGGTCATGGTTCCAGTGGCAAATATGCTCCTCTTTTGCTGAGAGGACAAGTAATCACACTGTCGCGTGGCTTCCCCCCATGCTGTTCATATTAATATAGCTCTGTTCTCATCAGCTCCCGCTTTTGTAATAAATGTTTCTCTCTCCCTGGCTTGTATCCCAGGCAGCTGCTTAGTGGTCAGAGTTAAGCACTCCCCACATGCTGCATATGCCTGGGTCATTGTCCGAATGGTCTGCTCAGCGGTCATCTTCTGAAAATGATCAGACTGATTTAAATTCTAAACTAGAAGGATGACCTGTTTTGTCTTCTCCAAATGCTTATAACTAGTTCTCCCTTGTTTTGTTTGTTTCAACAGTCCTACCTTGTTGCAATTCAGGAAGACAAGAGAGTATCATTTAGCAGGCTGTTCAAAAATAATTTTTTTGTCCACTTAGACCTGAGAGAGCACAGCCTTGTCCATTTGATAACACTGGGCTTGTAAATTTTAAGGAATCCTTGAATATTTTTGCCATATGGGATATTGTATTCTTGGCGGAAGGGGGAAGGAGGACTCATAACAATGTGTAAACTTGGAGTTAACACAGTAGCTATATTAAGGAATTCAAAACAGCTTAAACGGAAACAGTGTGAATTGTATTTTTTTAAAAAACATGTTAACTCATGTATCAGTGTCTTTGATTAGGGTCTCAAAGCTGTTCACAATTTTAAAATCTTACCTTTATTTAACTACAGAACTCCCAAGGACCCAGACTGATTATGAGAACAGCCTGACCATGAAGATGTTCTTATTCCAGTTTGTCAACTACTATTCTTCATGCTTCTACATCGCATTCTTTAAGGGCAAATTTGTAGGTTATCCGGGAGACCCAGTCTATTGGCTGGGAAAATACAGAAATGAAGAGGTATGAACTTAGAATTGGGTTCTCTTGACAATTTAAGCTGCTTCATGTTTTCTCCCGGGTGCCCAATGAAGAGTTTCTTCACTGTATATTCTTGAGATTCTCTTCACCTCAACAGAATAAATATCAGCAAAAAGTAAAATTAATGACTCAATTTCATGTTAGACCCATCTAGAATTTAAATGGGATTTTCTTTGTAATATTCCAGTGTGACCCAGGTGGCTGTCTCCTTGAACTGACAACACAGCTGACGATAATCATGGGAGGCAAAGCAATCTGGAATAACATACAAGAGGTGTTACTTCCGTGAGTATGAAGTTGTGTGATCTTGGGGCTATGACTGGGGAGAGAACAGCCCACCCATCCAAATCATTTGCCTGTGTGTTCACACAGCTGCATGCCCCCCTCTAAAATAGAGTAAACTCTATTTATTAAAGGTCTCCAGACAAGATGGTCCAACCAAAGGTGTAAATATATCCAGTGTTTAATAATTATGTTACAAAGAAAAAAATTTTATATTTAACTTAAATCCCCATCTGCTACAGTTTATGCCTGTTAGCCCATTGTTGGTAGCAAACTGATCCTAGTTCTTGGAGAGATGACCTTCGTTGGGGCTGTGAACTAAGTATTTCTCCAACTTCTCATGACTTTCTCCTCCCTTATAGTATGCTTTAAAAATCAACAGTAGTAATTTGTTGAGTTCCTAGTATGTGCCAGTCACTGTATTAAGTGCTTGATAGATCTCTCTCATTTAATCTTTCAGACAGTCCTTATTTTTATCTCCCTTATACAAATGAAGATTCTGTGGCTTAAAGTGGTTACATGACTTACCCATGTTCTCACTATCCATAAGAGGCTACTGTGGGATTCAAATCCAAGATCCTAGGACTCCAAATCCATGTGCTTTCAACAGGAGTTCTCTTGTGGTCCTAAGGCACAAGATTACATAATGTTTTAAGAGATAATCATCTAAAATAATAACGACAAATGTTTTGACTTCCTGTTCTTTTCCTAAGAAATGAGAGCGTCACATGTTAGCCAAGGTCACACTGTCCTTTTAAATCTTCACTTAAGCCCTATCCTATATCAAAGTGAATAGTCCAGTGCTATCTCAATTTCTGCACATTTTCAGGGGGCTTATTATATTCCTTTTTTATTGCTGCCAAACAGATTACCACCAACCTAATGGTAATGGGAAGACAATGGAAAAAAAAAAACACAAAACAACACAGATTCAATATCTTACAGTTCTAGAAGTCACAAGTCTGACACAGGTTTCAGTGGGCTAAAGTCAAGGTGTTGGCAGGGGCCATATCCCTTTCAGAAGCCTCTAAGATGAATCTGTTTCTTTGCCTTTTCTAGCTTCTAGGACCTGTCCACATTCCTTGGTTTATGGCTTCTTTTCTCATCTCAAAGCCAGCGGTGTGGCTCTGTGTGTCTGACTTCTGTAGTCCCATCCTCCTAGCTCTCTCCCTCCTTCTCCCTTCCCCTTTGATTGATCCTGGTGACTACATTGGGCCCACCTGGATGATCCAGGAAAATCTATCTTAATGTCAGCTGATTTGCAATCTTAATTCTGCCTTACCATGTAACATAACATATTCATATGTTCTGGGGAGTGGGACGTGGATATCTGTTGGGGGACCATTTTTCTGACTACCCCACATACCTTGTCAAGATAATTTCTGGTTCTGAGTTTCTGTTCTCACAAAACTTTTGATGTCTCTTCTGTCTTGCCTCCCACATCTATACTTTCTGCTTATGCCAACCCAAATGCTGGTTGTGGCCCCTCTCCTCAGTGTCCTCCAAAACCACTCACACAAGCAGCCTTTACTGACATTTGGGACATGGAGCCAGAAACCCAAACAACTTTAATTTTGAAATGAAAAACCCCCATCTTTTAAAAGTCTTTCCTCCCACTATATATAACTGGATTTTTTTTTTTCCTATCACCCTTCTTTGTAGGCTCCAGACTTTGCTGCCTGTCTTCCCCTCTCTCTTTCTTTCTCCTCCTTCCCCTAACTTCTCCTCTCTCTTCCCTGTTACCAGGTTCCTGTTCATTCTTTCTGCAGACTATTTAACCTCTTTTTTTTCCCCCCTGTCTTTATAGAGCAGAAACCTCCGGGTTTCCATGTGCCCTTCCATGTTTCTTCACCAGGCTTTATCTTCCACCTTCAATGTAAACTATCAGGGTCTATCTCTAAACAGACACTCCTCTTCCCCACCAGCTCTCTCCTCCCCTCTCCCCACCTCATAAAAAAATGGATTCTGATCTTAGCTGTAAAATTAATGTTTTGGGGCCTTACTAGGCAGTAAACAACCCTTACCTTCACTGAGTTCATATTCAGATTTTTCCAAATGAGTAGAAGTAGGTCATGCACAAATACTGGATATGAAAATAAATATATCAAATAGAGGAAAGGCTTAACTCAGATTAGGCTAGTTATTAAACTAACTAGCCTAGTAGTTAGTTTTTCTGAAGAAAGTAGGCTAGTTATTTAAACTAAATTTTGATGACTAATTGGTTGTCAGTAAGCTATTTTCTGATTTTAAAAAAATAGTGGCTGTTGGTGGGGGGGGGAACGTATATTTCTTAAACTGGTACTGAGAAATTCGTATGAAATGAAACTTGTTCACATGAAATATTTAAAAATAAAGGATGTATATAGTAGCCATGGTCTGTTTATACTTGCACTTCAAGTGAGGCCATTGTTGCAAAATTTTAGTAAGCTAAGCTTTTTGTTTAGCTGTTTCTACCCCTGGCCTAAAATACTTAGGGGCAGTACATTTTGAATTATCTTCCCCTTGTCTGAAAACTGGGAATGCTAAATTTTAGCCACTTTAGAGAGTGACTCGGGCTCTTCTCATCACTCTTCATTGTGCTAGGTGCCACTTTCCTTCTCACTGTTTCCACACAAAGTGAAAGAGCAATTACTCTTGCTTCCCAAAACTGCCCCCACCCCAAAAATACACAGGAGGGGAGAGAAAAGCCGTGTAAGTCAGTAGCTGTTTTCACACCATTTAAATATGTCAGAAGGAATATAATGAAATGAATGTCACCATAAGCTTGCCGCCTTCCACCCCCACCCCACTTGAGATCCTCAGTGTCCATTCCTGGAGCGAATGAAGAAGCACCTCTCGCACTGTGAGCCCGGTTCCCTTTGGGGGAGCCAGAAACCCAAACAACTTTAATTTTGAAATTAAAAAAACCCATCTTTTAAAAGTCTTTCCTCCCAATATATATAAAGATTTTTTTTTCCTATCACCCTTCTTTGTGGGCTCCAGACTTCCTGTACCCTCCTCCTTCCCTCCTCCCCTAATCAGTACCTAGGATTTAGCAGACACTCCCCAGCACCAGTCGAGTGAATGAGTGAGCCATAGGCTTCAAATACATAACATCAGCAAAGTAACACAATTGTTTGTTGGACCCAGAGAACAAGCTCAGAGCCCTTTGTCCATCCCAGCCTCACTTAGTATTTTGATATTTGAGGCATTCCCAGGAATTTTATTCTGTGCTTGACAAAAGGCTAATACAATTGCTGCATGGAGCCAATCACTCTGGAGGTTTTTATGATAAAATGTTAAGGAACATAATTATAGTCGAATATCCAAAGTACCAATAGCATTGTTCTTTGGTATTTAGATAATGGATGGCTGTAATTTTAATCCATTATATGTTTTCTGTATTTTTCACAATGGGTATGCACTACTTAAAGTGAACTATTAGAGAAAATGTCCCTTCTCAAGACCTGATTTAGCTAGAGGATGAACCAAAGACATACAATAAGAGAACCCTAAATACAGCTATCCCTCACTATCCACACTGACCCTTTACTTTCAGGAACAGTAAAATAGATTCAGATAGTGAAGGATACTTGTATTCAAAATTAGCAAGTGGGAATACCGTGGAATATCCTTAAATAGAAATGGTGATTATCTGTAGCATGTGGATTACATATGATAATGAAGAAACAAAGAGAAAATGAGGTATAAAGTGTTTTATACCATGCTTTACACATAATAAGGACTTAGGGAAAGGTAACTTTTTACAGTACTCTTCTGTTATTGCTAGTATGCATGGTAAGTTCCTAAAAACTATTTTGTAACCCCTGCTAGAGGGAGGAAGCTTCCAACCGTGGCCAGGGGTATCTGGTATCTGAATTTTTAAAAAGTTCTCTAGGTGATTCTCATGTGCAGTCAAGATTGGTATCTCTGCACTAGATTCATAACCCACTAGAAAACCCAAAAGACTGAGGACAGTGATGAATGGATGACAGCCCAAGATTTCCTACTACAGATAAGTGGTTCAGCTCAGGAAGACTGAACAAGAGGCTCAGAATCTGTAGCTCAGAAAAGAAACTAGTCAGAAAGACTTCTAATACGACCTATTACGGGCGAGGGAAGGCAGTACAGTACCAGAAGGAAGCGCTAGATGAGCTGGTCATGCAAGTGGTTGCCAGGACAGAAGTTTCATCCTCAGTCCAAATTGTAATGGATTTGGAGCCCCGAGAGTAAAAGAATGCTTCTGTGGGCCATGAGGATTCTGTCCAGAGGCTGAGGCTGGAAGTGTGAGGCAGAGCAACAAAACAGAACAGTAGAAACCGGAAGTCTCATGTTTGGTTGTCATGAAGGGTGATGGATGATGCTCCCTGTGTCACAGGGCCCCCCTCAAGTTCCAGCCTTGCCTTAGACTTGACTGATTACAGAGCTTTGGGTTGGGGCACAGGAAGTAACACTAGCAACAAGCATTCCGGATCATTCTAAGTGCTGAAGTGAGATCCACCCATCAAGACAGCATTGGGTGTCCCCAAGCCAAGATTCCAAGTCACGGAGGCCGTGTTCACCATCAGCCTCAGCCAGTTAGTCTGTATTGGTCAAAAGAAAATCCTGTGAAGGGGGTTTTGATGTGTTAGAAAATGTGCTAAATACTTTATCTGTTCTGAATCATTTAATCCTGACAGAAACCCTGGGCAGTATAGGCTTTATCACCTGATTTTATTTGAATTTGACGCAAGTCAGAGTGTAAGCAATGAAGTGTGGATTCGGATTCGGGGGTGTCTGAGGCCGTGTCCCCTCCACTTCCCACAGCCTCCTGCTGTGTCCCTAATGTCACAGAAGAGAAAGAAGTGGGCAAGATTGTGAAGCCAGGGGCATGTTCTGTTGTAGAGCAGTCTCCCCGTCGTGCACCTTGGGGAGTGGTCAGTAAAGTTACCACAGAGACCAGCAGGACACTTAGCATGACAGGCTATTTGTAATTCATCATCTCTCCGGCCGGGGGTGCATGTGCGGCACCTGAGCATGTGCGTCTGCAACCTTGAGAGTTGTCTTTACGGGAGGGTGAAGCTTCTCATTATCCGAATTTGAAAATCTGTACAAGCATGTTCTTGAATCATCCGAAGCTTAGCCCAGATGTTTGTATTTGAAGTTGTTTGCTGCTGTTGTGCCTCTTATGATGAGTTCCACAAGGAAACCACAAGCTAGCTGTTGCCTGAGGGGACAACGGTTCTTTCGACTACAGGTGCACACTTCGTTTCACTGCCAACTTCAATTTCTTTTCAGGAAAAATTGCCATAAAAGGCTGTGGAGGGGGGAGGGGGCACATTTATGGGGAGGCATTGAGAAAGAAAATAACATAAGAGACAACAGATGATTCTGTGGGGCCAGTGTCCGATAGAGCAGAGCGCTGGGCATTTTCACTACTCGGGTTCTTGACTTATTCAGCTTAAAATAGGGTTTTGGACCTGTTTCATCTAAAATGAAAATATATCCCCATTTCCCCATTCTCTCAGAAACCTTTAATGGCTCGCTGCTTCCCCCAGAGTAAAAAATGCCCAAATCCTCACAGTGGTCTCTCTTAGGCTCCCCACTGCTCAAAACTACCAGAGTGGTTTCCTTCTAGCCCGGGACCACACCAGGCTCCCTGCAGTGCTCCTGCCCCTGGGGCTCAGTAGTCACTCTCTCTCCTGCCTCCTTCATATTTGTATTCAAATGTCACTCCTCCTGAGCCCTTCCCTGCCACCGCCCTACTCCCCCTACCACAAACACAAACAATCTCCATTCCTTGCTCTGCCTCATTCTTCTCCATGGCATGATCACCAGCTCACATACCATGTCTGTCTGTATTCCATTTTCTCTGGTGATTTCATACTGGAAAGACCATTTTGGATAATAGCAGCCCAATGGGGCGGGGCGCGGCGGGGGAGACTAAAGTTAATCAAATGAGAGAAACTATTTCTAAAAACTAACTGCCATATGAAAAGGAGCTGGGTGAAAAAACGGTAGCAGTTACAATTTTAACAAAACCTGGTATTAAGTAATAAAAACCTGGTAATAATAGTTTTTCAAAATATTTGGGTAGGGAGGCAGAAATAAAGAGAAATTTAGCATGAAAACAAGCAATTAATTTCTTGGGAAGATTGTGTGTTTAGCTTGAGATATCTGCAAAATAATTTGATAATGTTCTAATTTATAGTTTGATCTTTTTGGCAGCTGGGTCAAGAACCTAATTGGACGATGTCGCACAGTTTCCAGAACAGAAAAAATAACCCCGCGATGGGAACAAGACTACCACCTGCAGCTCATGGGCAAACTGGGATTGTTTTATGAATATCTTGAAATGAGTAAGTCCTTAGTGAAGTTTTAGGTGACATAAATTATATTGGAACATGTTTTAGATCCCAAATAATTACCTGGCATATTGAAATGAAGAAAGATGTGCTTTTCTCCACTAGATAAAATGACACAATCAGGCTTTCAAATAAGGTGACTGTGTGTATCTTTGTCAGTTGTTGTACAGAGCTAAAGGTTTATTACTAAGCAATGAAATGGAATATTCACTGAGGCACATCCTCACCATTCTAAGTGCACTCTACCCAGGCTGTCTGAGAATGAACTCAGAACTATTATTAGAGGTGATTCAGCTTGGGCTGGAATCCACACCGGCACAGCTGTTGGCAGATACACTTCTGAATGAGTCATTTGATCCAGCCTGGACTGAGAGCCTGTAGGAGCATGCTGTTTCGAGGCAGGAAAGATCACAGGCTTCCCCTTTCACACCTCCCACCTGCTTTTGACAGTGTATCTCTTTCTCCTGGCCCATCATTTTTGCATGGTTGCTTGAGTGACCTCGTGGCTAATCACTGGCTTGAATTTAGAACTCACATTTTGCTGGTTTGGAATTAAGATTTAGGACAGGTCCCTTCTTTCTTGAATGCCTTTGTCCGTTTGTGCAGTATTTGCTTGGGCTCTGTTTCTCTTCCGTTGGACTTGATTCTGAGCTCTTGGGTGCCTTTAAATGGACACCTCTCAAAACATTTCCAGAGGAAACACTGTCTTTTCTATTATGCATGACACACTTGTATCTAATAGAAGGCTTACTATTTAGTCGTTTTGTATCTGTGCTCTTTCAGCTAACCATGGCACTGAATTACAATTTTTTTAAGCTTAGGAGAATAGGAAACACACATTTTGGTTGACAGGCCTTGCTTTTATGCAGAGGAATTTTTGTGTTTGCAAAGATACCTCTTTGTGGTTCCTGTTTACAAGTCTGCAGATAGAGGATGGTTTCATTAAATCACGTTCTGTATATAAAATAATTGCTTTTAAAAATATACATTATACATGGAAACACATCTGCTTCCTTCAGTGAGTGAAAGGTTCATCTTGTAGCTTCTTCAGTCAACAACACTTTGCAGCCTGGAGTTTGATTTGAATTTCATTTTTGCTTTTGTTATGTTTCATGACCAGGTTCGATTAAGGGTATAGCTTCAGTACATAATGTAGAAGCTATATTTATTTATTTATTCTGTTTGTTTTCAAAAGGACTGCAAGACATTACCTCTGATTCCAAAATGAGTCATAACTGTAAATATTTCTTATTGGAGCTATTATCAGCATTAATAACAACATTCTGGGGCAGAATATCATTTGTTATTTTAGTACCAAAAATATACCTTGGAGAAAGTTATTTTTCTGTAGTTGACTAGTCAAATAAATAGTGTTGCGAGAAGAAGTTATAGGAAAAGGTTGTGCTTTGGGGAGAAGTTGGCATGACTTTTAGAATTTCATAGTCTCATTAAAATAATTACCAACAAAATAACTCCTACAAGAAAGGATGGAATAACAACTGTTACAGATATTTTTTTAGATTATTACATTGTTTTCCTACTATCTAATACCTAATGAATTAGAAAAATTAATCTGTTTCTGATCTGTATTCAACACCAGAGTGAAATCTACTTTTCGTTATTTTACTTTTTGGGAGATAGAATTGCCAAGTGCCTTTTGAATTATTTTTGTTCCTCTAAAATAAATATAGAGTGCCTCCAGTGATGGTCTCATCACCACAACTCCCTCCTTCTGGTTTCCCCCCCATATTCATGAATGACACCGCCATCTACCGTTTTAATTATGCCTCCTACCTGCTGAAGGGAACCATCTTCCGGCATACAACCCTGGAGCCTCGTACCCAGCCACCAGCTCTGTTCCCCTCTGCCTGAAACACCCTTCCCTGCTTCTCTACCTGAGGAACGCCTGTCAAGCCTCAGCAGTAACCCTCAACTTTTCACACAGATTTGCTGCTCTTTTCTCTAGGCATTAACAGCGCTTAATTCCTGCCTTGATGGCATCTGGCTGTGTGCATTCCTGCCCCCCTGGCTAGACTGACTCCCCCCAAGGTGGCTACCTACCTTTGCATCTTTCAGCCCTCAGCTGGAGCACCACTGTCTGGACCTCATACTCATAAATATTTAAGTGACCTAAGCTTGGAGTTTCAACACACACATACAGCTGTTAGTTGAGTTTACATTACCATTGCCCCCACCATCCCAGTGAAGTTCTTTATGGCATGTTTTTGGGGTTTTATTTTTGAGTGAAATTTCTACTTTATTTATTTATATCCACCATCCTTGGAGATTATTAAAGTAACCCTGGTGTGTTAACCAAAATTGCCTCCCCAAGTGTATGTTCCTAACTTCTGAGAATTCAGACACAGGTTATAGAGAAAGAGCCTGTCAGACTAAAATCTGGAAGCCATAAGATAGCATTTTGTGCTTCTAGCATGACACAGCATGACCAGTCTCTTGAGAACTTAGTGATGGCCTCCCAGGTGCCACAAATTAAATGCAGTAAAGTGATGGAGTGGGCCCTGTTTTTCTCTGTCCCTGCCTCTTCGACCCTTCCTAACTTGACCTCACTGTCCTCCATCTCCAAGTTAAGTTTTAAAAAGACCTAGTAAAACAATGACCCTCATCTATTATTATCTCCATTTAATTTACTATAATTAATATCAACACTTCTTCAGCATCTTCTCATGCCCACCCCTTTCCTGTCTCTCCAGTGCTAACCCCAGCTAAGCACCCCCTACACTCTGCAGGACTCAGGCCTGTCTTCCCCCACTCCCTCACCTCTACTGTTTCTGCCCACCACCTACATTGATATTTACTCATCTTTGCAGGCCTCCTCTCTCTTTACTCATTCATTCATTCATCCAATAAACATTTTTGGAGCACCTGGAATGCCAAATACTGTATCGATTGGCGGCAGCCTAGTAATCCAGCAAATAAGGACTGAAAATGTACGCTGGCTTAGGAATAGGCAGTCACCACAAAGTGAGCGCAGTGAGGGCTGAGGCAGGAGGTCGGGCTCGGAGGAAGGAAGGAGTGGTTGAGAAATAGTAGTTTAGCTACTTCTTCAAAAACTTGACTGCAAAGTGAAGAAGAAAGCAGAGCGTGTTAGAGAGCAATACAGAGTCATGAAAACATTTTAGGCAAGGATTATTTGTGTTTCTACAGTGTGTGTTTCTTGCCTTGCGGAATCCATAGGTCTTTTTTGTTGTTGTTGTTCATTTCAGAAGTTTAGAAAGTTCTTCTTGCTTGAACATCAAAACAGATTAGATACCATGTTGGTTTTTCCGGTGCATTATTTTTAAATTAATCCATCTGTAATTTATATTGGTATTAGAAGTGAGGACTCCATAGGTCTTTCCAGTGATGTGCTAATTGCTCTAATACTTGAATCCACTGATTTGAAGTGTCTCTTTTTATAATATAGTAAAATCCCATGAATATCTGCATCTGTTCTGTTTAATTCATACAATGAATGCACTAGCTCTAAACTGTTTGAGTTGCCATTGCGTAATAACATACATTAGCATCTCTTGGAGCTGGCCCATCTTAGCCTTTTTCAGAATGTCTCTCATACTGTCAGTTCAAGCATCCCTCTTTGTTATTTTACTTGTGTAGTTGTGTAGATTTCTTGAAAAACTTCAGCATCACTTTTCAGCTTTAAAAAAAAAAATCTATTGGGAATTATTAACTAAATTTGCCTTAGAATTCAAAATTCTATTTTGGAGAAAAAAATTGATAAGTCCCCCAGCTTGAGTCAACCCAATTAAGAGTATGATACATCCTACCATCCATTCATTTTTCATTGTTTTTATTTTTTAAGTCCGTTATCATATCAGTGTTAACATTTCTCACTAATTTTTTCCTAAGTAGTCTGAGCTTCTATTGTTATTTTAAATGGCATCTTTTCTGTTTGAGATATTTAACTCGGTTAATTGCCAGGATAGTCCTAATTCCTGGCTTCTCTTGAATAACGAGGAGATCTGGCGACACTGGACCCTCATTCCAACGTGGCAACTGGGAGTAGTCCCTTTCATTAGGCTACGCACTTGCCAGTATACCACAGTTGACTGCACCCCCTCCACACGTTTCTGTTCTTGCCTGGGCCCTGCAGGCAGAGGAGTTCCTGTAGGGGTAGGTGGTACATAGACACAGTCAGCAGCATAGCACCAAGCTCTGGTGTCAGTATCTAGGACATCACCCGCTCTGGTCCTTGCCTGTCTTCCCCGAAGATGATGGCTCCTGCCTGGCCTGTGGACCTGCCAGATCTTTCCAGCCCTCTCTCTTCTTCTTCTACAACACACCCTGGTCTCTCAGACCAGAGGCGCATGCCAGTTCCTTCTACCTACATACCCCTCCATAGTCTTGCCCTTCCTGGCCAGATTGGTCCCTGCCCCTTTTCTGAGCTATAGGTGTAAAGGGGCTGTAAAGCTTCCTTTTATTCACAGCCTTAGTTCCATATCTGTACTAGTTTACTTGAAAGGTTTCTTTTAGATCTCTGGCCATCTCATTTCTAACCTTTACCCCCTCTATGGTACAGCTTGCCCCAAATCTCTGATGTCCTGTCTGTAGTGACACCGTATAAATTACAGACAAGGAAGAAAAGAACTTCTAAGCCATCACTTGAAATTTTACTTACTGGGACCACATAGACTGCAACAACTTCAAGATAAAAATTCCTAAAGAAGTATATTTTGCCTTATTAGGCCACTTTCATCACCTACATATCTGTGATTCAAATTCTCTTCATGAATGTACTGCATTGCATTTGCAGACTCAGGGGAGCTTGTTCATTTCCCTGTTTCCGGCATATTTCCTCTAACATTCTCTAAACATAGCCTTCCCAAAAGTCCATTTCTTATTTCTTTTTAACTTGTTAGATGCTTCCACAATATTCCTGTTCTTTTTTTTTTTTTAGCCCTAAATCACGAATCATCTTGCAACATTCTATTATTTCAACAGAGAATGAATACGACGTGTCCCAACTTTATCGCCAGCAAATAACTTTAGTTGATTAAAGATTTTAAATATATTATTCTTACTAAGTGTATACGTATGAAAGAAACCAGCTATAACTAATCTTCTTTCCAGAGACTTCACATTTGTCTTCTGTTTGGGTTCTTTCACTGTTGAACATTGTTATTACCATGGGTGTCTTTTCTCTTTGGGATTTAGTTTGTTGTTTGCCTTTTTCTTTATAAGAGTAAAGAAAAATATGTTGTCCTTCCATCCACCCGCCACTCCATGATGCGTGTCCATTCCATTGGCAGTTATTCAGTTTGGGTTCGTCACCTTATTTGTGGCCTCTTTTCCACTGGCCCCTCTGTTGGCTCTGGTGAACAATATATTGGAAATAAGAGTGGACGCGTGGAAAATGACTACCCAGTATAGACGCATGGTTCCCGAAAAAGCCCAAGACATCGGAGCATGGCAGCCCATCATGCAAGGAATAGCAATTCTGGCTGTGGTGACCAATGTGAGTAAACCTAGGCTTCACAGGGATTTTAGATTGAAAAATCCAAAAATGCATTAGTTTTGCTACCTAAAGAATCAGATGTTTGCTATTTTTTTTTAAATGGGAGGGAGATGCCAATACTATTTGTCATATAGAAACAGTTGTTATAACTGTGATTGTTATTTTTTAATGTTCTTAACGGTTTGTATTCTTATTCGCGACTTACAAAGTCAAGACCTCTTACGGGAGCAGTTGCTAACAGTGACCATTATACTATTATTCATTTGCTAAAGTTCTTATTCAATAGAAACATGGTAATAGTAATAACAGTAAGTACCAACTCTCTTAATCCTCACAGGAGTATCAAAGGAGTTATCCAGTAGTGCTTTTGTAACAGAGATAGAAATCTGTCCACTTATAGTTGGAGGACCCTAAAATAAGAACTATCATTCTACCATATTTTATCATATATTCCAAACTATCAACTTAAAATATTAACTATTTGATGATGAAGTACGTATAAGCACTTTGCGTTCCATTCATGTGTTACCTTCCTTGTCTCCTAGGGCAGAGGTTCTTCAAGGAGGGGGGCTTTAGGGTGGGTTCCATCTCTCTTCTCCACCCCACCCCTTGGCCTTTGCTAGCCACTCGCTGGTCATTAGCTAAGCAGCCTCATACCCTGCATGTGTCCCAGCTTGAGGGAACAGAACATAGTCCTTTACAACCTGTATAGACTTTGGACCAATCTGAACAGTTACCTCCCCCTTCCTCCTTCCCCCTCTCTTTCCCTCTTTATAAACACAGGCCAACAAGGAGCTCTCAGGGAGAATAAGTTCCATACCAGCCCAGTGGGGGAATGACCACCTTCCCTAGAAATATCCTTACAACTAGGGCTGTTTCCTCCCTTATTTCATTGCCCATTTTACACTCAGGTCACATTCCCCAACATGATGACATCCCAGTTTTAATTTCTTTGTCAAGCCACACTTTCCCTGAATCCGCAGCCTTTTTCCATGAGCACTTGTGGAAACAGAAGAGAATTCAGCAGTGCCTGTGGGTCAGGCTCCTGGTCCAGCTCGGCACTGCAGACCGGTCAGACCCAAGGTCCAGTTCTCAGTGCTGCAGCTTCCAAGCTACATGACCTTGGGCCAGGCCTTAACACTTCAGAGCTTCAGTTTATCATTTGTAAATTGAATAGTTCCTTACCGCATATTTTAAGAATATTATATACCACAAAGGGTAGCCAGGGACTTCAGGGAGTTAATGCATGGAATGCACAGAGCCTGGTCCTCATGCAGTGTTAGCTGCTGCTGTGTTATTATCTTCATCACCCATCATCAGTCTCAGTGACTCTGTGTAGACTTTGACAGGTATCTAAACTAAAGGCACAAGAATTTTACAATGTGTCACTGAGCCGTGGTTACAGTTTTACACAATAAAGCCAATTATCTGGAACCCAGCTGTCACACCAAGAACCCTTAATTTATCTGAATTGTATGCTATCCCTACTTCTTGGAGAAAGTTGCAAATTGCACACAAAAGACAACTGCTAGCTTATATCATTTTCCATTCACCCAAGTAGCCCACACCTTCAACATCCCCTGTGCTACGGAATGAAGACGTGCAGAAATAGGACAGTGAGGCCTTTCAAGTTCTACAATCATAAAAGAGTGACTCTGTCACATTCAATATGCTGTATAACCCCAAGCAAGGCAGGAACATGGACTTGTGTGCTTTAGGAACATTTGAGCAACAAGGTTTGAAACTAAAGCGTTTTTGTTTGACCTTCAGCTAACCAGAAAATTCAGAGGACTCCTACTCCCCATTCCTCAGCACTCTGGTTTGATTGTGGGAGGCACCTTCTACTATCCCCTGCATGGGTCCACTCCATTGGCACAGATGGGGTATTGGCCGTGTCTCTAGGGCTACTCTGGGGGGTGTGGGTGTGTACATGGGCACATGCATGCCTGCTAACTGGTGCTACTGGTTCTTATCCAGTAGTTTTTTCTTCTAACTTAGGCGTCGTTTTATTATACCCTAGGAAAACTACTTTTTAGATCATTGATTGAACTACGGACAATCTTTCTTTCCATATTATTAGGATTTAATACAGCTTCCAAGCTGCAGGTCCTGTGCATGTTTGTGTACGTGTCTGTAAGAATGAAACGTATATCAGTCCCTCACATACCTAATGTATGCCTCTACCATCTACTGGGCACAAAAAGGGCTAACTTTCCATAATAGGAGAACTTCCAACTATGGGAAGAAGAGAATAGCCACCAGGGATGAAAATGGACATCAAGCAAGAGTTTGGTATGAAATCATTCATCTTAAAGCTGCTGGTGCAGTACATGAGCTGAGTTGACGTGGTTGTCTCAGGCCACAGTATCTGCCATTGAAGACCGATTTCAATTTGATATAAATGGAAAATTGTGTTCAGAACAGCACAGGAAGCAAAGCACACCGCATTTACTTGCACTCTTGCAGTGCGTCTCAAAACAGCTCAATTCAGGAGGAGTAAGTATCTTGTCAGAAGACAAGAGAATTCTCTTCCTTGTTGGAATTTTTATAGCTTCCTGGAGCACATCTGCAGGTGATTCTGTAAAAAGCTATAGTTAAATAACAGGAAATGTTAAACTACTGAAATCTGGGAAAAGTAAAATATTCTTGTCTTATACCCACCCCCCCACCACTGACAGGCAAACACACACACACACACACACACACACACACACACACACACACATTCACTTCAGAGGAAATGACAAAGCTGGTTCTACTAAGGGGAGTAATTTTGCAATAGAAAAGCCCCCTTAGTTGTTTTTCTTGCTCTCCCTGAGATCTTGTTTGTTGGCTTATGGTCACACTGCATCTAAACCATATGTTCAGATGAATACTTTTAAAAATCATGTGCCAAAAACATGCCTTTCTGCTTCAATTTTAAATGAATCATTTAGCTTTGTTTATTTGCAGAGAATTTGGGTTAAAGTATATTCCTTACTTTCTCCCTCTTTCAAACCAATTTCATATATTGGGGAGTTTAAAGCCCAAATTAAAGAATTTTAGAGAAAATTCAGTTAATTCATAATAGCTTTATGTCCTGATAGAGGTCTGCCTGACACAGACCCAGGTTAAAAATTAATCTCAGTTTATTCCTTTAATCTGCGATCACACTAAACTTTGTTCAGTTAGTCTTTTTGAAGTTTAGAGGCTTAGACACTAGATCTAATAAAATAGGCATACACTTGACTGTATGAATGCAGCAACCCCATATAGTTTCTTGCTACCTACATTTTAAAATTAATAAATTATTGCTCTCTAATGAAGCAACATATGCAAGTATATACTGAGAGTTTAAAGTCAGACAGACTATGGGTTGACATGTATAAGTAAGTCAGGATACTCTAGGGAAAAAAGTATGAATTTGAAGGCCACTGTTAGACTAAGGAAAATCTATTTTATGCAATTTATATTCTATTTTTAAGAGGCAGATATTTCAAAATCAGTTTTATATCTATTGTAAACTCTACAAAGGAATTAAAAAAGGCCAAATTATTTTCATAATATTGACCCTAATATTACTTATGAAAAAGGGCCTTCTAAATCATAAAAGAAAGATTAAAATTATATCAAGTAGGGCACCTAGGTGGCTCAGTCGTTAAAAGTCTGCCTTCGGCTCAGGTCATGATCCTAGGGTCCTGGGATCGAGCCCCGTATTGGGCTCCCTGCTCGGCGGGAAGCCTGCTTCTCCCTCTCCCACTCCCCCTGCTTGTGTTCCTGCTCTTGCTCTCTCTGTCAAATCAATAAATAAATTATATCAAGTAGATTTCCAAGGTTGATTGAGTTGTATAATATTCTAATTTTTGAAAATCTAATTTATATAACAATATATGCAAGCAACTTGAGTTAATCCAGGATACCCTGGTCTACAATTATTCTTACTGTACTTAAGAAACATAATAGGCAACTTGCAAGCCTTTGCTTTTCAACTGCAGATGGACTTCTGGACAGCCCTTAGGTGAACTGAAGATCAAGAGGAAGTAACCGTTCTTTAAAGCAGCTGCTCAAAGACTTTAGAACATTCACTATCTATATCCATTTGACAGGAAAGGATTAAAGTTTCTGAATCTTTCATTAAGAAAAATCAACTGATGAACACATAATTCTGGTGTGTTTGTTAACCATAGCTATAAAGGCTCTAAATTAATGCCCCCTTCCTGTTTTCCTCCCCATATAGGCCATGATCATTGCTTTCACGTCAGACATGATCCCCCGCCTGGTGTATTACTGGTCCTTCTCTGTCCCTCCCTATGGGAACCACACCCATTACACCATGGAAGGATACATCAACAGTACTCTCTCCATTTTCAAGGTGTCAGACTTCAAAAATCAAAGCAAGGGAAATCCAGACCCTAAGGTTGTCATCCCTACCACATGCAGGCAAGTTCCGCTTACATGTTTGAAAATGCATTTCATCTTTTAAAGGACTTTTATTGTCATGTAATTCTAAATAAAATTGCTGGAGACATTTTTTCTTCCCCTAGGTTTCTTTTTAGCCAAACTTAATACAGACTGGGGTCAGAATTTATAAATCAAACCATAAAGCATGATTTAAAGATGGGGGTTTCAAATGATTGCAGGGAGACTGATCCAGGAGAAAAGTCTTGTTTGTATCTTAGAAATGAAGAAACTCAAGGAGTTCCAAAAAACAAGTTAATTCGGTTGTAATGACTAATCTGTTAATTGGAGCACAACCTGATGTACTGAGTGACAACAAAGTAGCACTCTCTCTCCAAAAATACAAAGATGAGAAATGTAAAGACCTCAGGCTCACCTAGCAGTATTCTCAAAAGCATTCCTTAAGGACTCTCTGCATTGATTGTAATGGCTGGTAAGGTCAACTGTGGACAGTAAACATCAAGTAAATCACTACTTGATAAAGTTTGTTGACTATAGGTCATAGTTTTTTTTTTTTTTTTAATCAGAGTCTTAACCCTAAAGGAGGATTTAAATCTCATTTAGTTCAACTCCTCAAATCCTTCTGTGGTTCAGATTCTCAGCAACACAACCAAGAAACCAGAAATAAGCCCCAAATAAATGTTTCTAGAGCTTCTTTGGAATTCCACATTGAGTCTTCTTACTCTTACTTGCCATAATTCTAAAGAGTAGTTAAACTCTTCCAGGCCTGATAGGTTACAGGCTGAGATGGGCTACCTGAGGGCGATATAAACTCACAGCAGTAGCACATGATATCTCATACGGAAATCAGATTGATTATATTATAACGAGCACATGGGCATTACTCTCTACAGGGAGAGATAACCCATAACTTGAGTGAAGCCTGAGGATACCACTATATAAATAAGTTTATAAGCCTGTTCCTGAAAATACGCTACATTGTTCTAGTGTTATACTCTTTTGAGAAAGCAGGAATAAAACTGACAAAAAAATTTTTTTTAATACTTTTGTGTTTACACATATGGAATGTGTCATTACCATCATCTTCCTATTTTATGTTCAGTCAAGTATTACTGGAGTCATTATTTCAGGATTTTGTAGCCAAATTAAACTCTTGGAGAAAACTTACAGGATGTCCAGTTTTAAAAAGCATTGCATTAATTATGACGTCTTTTGAAAGGGGCCCTTGCTTACAGTACTTAATCAGAAAGAATCTCCTGATAGCCCTCTGGTTTGTTTCCAGGTACCGTGATTTCCGGAACCCACCTGGACACGAACAACAGTATAAACACAACATCTACTACTGGCATGTGATCGCAGCCAAGCTGGCTTTCATCATTGTCATGGAGGTAGGAGAAGTATACTGTGAAAGAGTTCATAAGGCAGTAGATTTGCAGACCTTTTATTAGCAATAAGTGTTGCCAGCTCTGACTTAAAATACATTCTTTTCTCTTGCTAGTAAATTACCTGTTAATCACATTTAACCTGGGCATACCCATAATGCTCTCATTAATGAAATGGGTTATCTGCTTGAAAAGGTGAAAGCATGTTGTGTGCTGGGGGCGATTCAGTGCCTCTCACTGTGGTATTGAGTGCCTTTTTGAGAAATTTGGGGCGCCGGGCTGCATGCTAGACTGTGAAGGGGCTTACCGAAGATCACGAAGATGTGATCTCTGCCCGAGAGACTGTTATTGCTGTCCTAGTTTTATTTGTATTATTATTATTTTTATTACATTTTCATAATATACCTCTTAGAATAGTTTTTTAAGCTCTTAAAAATGCCTATGGCAGTGATAAATTTGAAACTGATCTAACCAGCTTTACTTGTGACACGGAGGGAATAACTGCTACCAAACCATGAAGCCTCAGAAGTTGCTCGATGGGTGTGGTCAGTTAGGATTGCACTTCGCCGCAGAAAACACAAAACCCATCGATAGGGGCTTAAAGAAACAAAGATGGATTTTGCTCACGAGAAGTAGGTGGTTCCTCCCGAGTCAAGACCAGCTCGCTGACATGAGGACCGGATCTCCGATTCTCTAGGTTCTCTTTCTCTCCCTCTCTCGGCGTGTCATGTGTGGTTGCCATGGGAGCGCTACAACTCCAGATAGAGCACATGTTGGGTCCAGACAGGAAGGGGATGCTCGCCATATCCGTTCCTTTTTGTCAGGAGAGAAAACGTTTTGCCAGAATCCTCCAGGGCAGATGGCCGCCTGCATCACCTTGGGTAGCTCCAGAGCACACGGCTCCTCCGAGCGACAGAGTAGGCCCAGAGGCAGGGAATTGGGTTTGCTCTGAACAAAATGAGGATCTGTTAGCAAGAAAAAGGTGGGATAGGCTGCCTGGCTTTGAGCATTTTTCTAGGATTCTTTTTTTTTTAATAGCTACCAAACATTAACAGAAGAAGAAACAAGTTGTCATTAGCTCCCCATCATCAGTGGATTCCTGGAGTATCTGATCCGTCAGCAAGAATCACTGGTTTATATTCAGATATGTAGTTGCCAAAGTATTTCGACTTCTGCTTCTGATATCGTGGTGGACCAGATACTGAGGGGCCATTTCACTACACAGCATTCAGAATCAGCTTAAAATATAATTTCATTTTTGAGCTCACTGGAAGGGAGGAGAACCTACAAAGAGGGGGCAGAAAGGTGATGGCTAACCTAGAGCAGTTAGCACCCCCCTGAAGCGCAGGGGCACTCTGAGGACGAGTGCGGTCATCAGCACCTCCCTCTAAAGGCTCAAGGGCACCAAGCAGCGGGTCAGCAGTGAGGTGGACCAGCTGAGCTTGAGACTCTTGGATTCAGCCAGGGGCCCCCAAAAGAGCTAAAATTGTCTCAGAGCAGAAGGAAATGCATATATTCCCTGGAGAAAAGGTGTCCTCGGTTTAGACCACATTTTTTTCTCAGATTGAAATAATCAGGTATGAGCTTCCAAAGATCAACAATAATAAGGGGAAATAAGAAAAACCACAGGTGGGATTCAGGGGGAAAAAATGATAATTTGGACCTTCAATAACTTCAAGAGCATGCACTATCATGTTAGGAATATAAATTCAATGTGTATGAAAATTTAAACAAAAAATGAGTGATTCATAAATGAACAAACAATAAACTAAAAAATTACAAGGTAATTTTGAAAAATACATAGTTGTTGAAATGAAAAAGCATATGGATTAAACAGAAGTCTGAAGCAAGAATGAATGAATTGGGACATAGGTCTGAAAAAAATTACTCCCAGCACGTCACAGGGAGAGAAGAAAGTGGAAAATATGAAAAAAATTGTGGAATTTTCAAAAAATTCACAGAAGGAAAAGGATACTAGATAGGCAATATTTGAAGAGTTAATGGCTAAAATTCTTCCCAAAGAAATGAAAGGGCTCTGTTCACAGAGCAGAAAGCACAGCAAACATCAGGCAGAATAAAGAAATCCATGCTTACACAGATTGTGACAAAAGTGCAGCTCGTCAAAGATAAGATCTTAAAAGTAACCAGAGAAAAAGGACAGATGACTGATAAAGAGAAATTAAAATTGAAATGAGAGTAGACTTTAACAGCAGCATGGAAGCCAGAAGAGAGTAGTCAAATAGCTTCCAAAATGCTAAAGAAGGGAACTCTAAACCTAGAATTATAGCAAAATTTTGAGTAATTGAAAAATCTTTCCATAAAGAAAATGCCAGCCCATATGGTTTTGTAGGAGAGTGATGCCATACTTTCTAGAACAGATCATTTTAGTTACCTCCAGAGATCAGAAAAAGGAAACGCTCTCCAACTCCTTTTTAGATCCTAAAATCACACAGGAATAGAAAGAGGAAAACTATAAGCCAGTCTCCTTCGTTACATTGATGCAAGGATCTTTCTAAAATGTGCCGATTGAATCTAGCAATATATTTTTTAAAGATGACATCAGACCACATTGGTTTATCCCAGAAATGCAAGGGTGGCATAACAAAGTCCACATCTATAAATATAGATGGGGAAAAACAAACCTCTCTTTCCTACATCAACTTTTGCCTCTTTATAATTTCCATCGTTCAGACCCACTCTCTCTCTGTCATCTCAGATATTCTCCACCCTCACATTACCTAACTTATCAGAAGCATTTGACACAGCTCATCACTCTCTCCTTCTAGGAGTTCCTCCTCACTTGGCTCCCAGGAAAAAAAAAATTTTTTCCCCCTTTTCTCTTACGTCACTAGGCAGTTCCTTCTTCATTTCTTTGCTAGTCCCTTTTCTCTCTTCTCTCTCTCCTCACAGCTTTGGTGATCTCATGCAGTCCGTTGGCTTTAAATGCCATCTACATGCCAGTGATTCACAACATATTTACCTCCAGAACACCGCTCTCCTGAACTCAACCCATGAATCCAACTGCCTACTTGACCTTTCTGCTTGGAGAGCTAACAGATAAATCTACTGCCCCAAATGCCCATATTTTCTTCAGTCCACTTGGAATGTTCTCCTCTCTGTGCTGCCCTAAATGCTGCACCCACGGTGGGTCTGCCCCCTCTCAGTCATGGCAGTTGGCATTTACCTCACTGGTTGTTAAGGGCAAAATTCTTGGAGCACCCCCCCACACACACACACTTACCCCACATGCAGTGCTGTTGGCTTTTCCTTTGACAGTACATTGCAGATCTGACCCTTCTTACGAGCTCTGTTGCTAGAGCCGGGTTGGAGTCACCATCATTTCTTGCCTGAATTAGGGCCACAGGCTCCTGACTGGGCTCCCAGTTGTCTTCACATCTCATTCAGAGCCGGGCAAGGCCTGACACGCTCTAGCCATGCTCTGTTACCTCTCTCTCGTCCCTGCTCTCCTCCTCACTCATGTCCCTCCAGCTCTGTCGCTCCTGATGTACAGCCGGCAGGCTTCTGCCACCGAGCCTCTGTAGTGGCTCTTCCCTCTGCCTCACATGCCTTTCCTCCTGATTTCTGCACGGCGAGCTCCCTCACCTGCATAAAGCCTTGGCTCAGTGAGGCATACCAGGCTAATCTGTACAAAATCTACCTGAAATTGGCCTCCCACCTAACACAAACTCCTACTCTGCTTTACTGCTTTCTCCATGCTCTTATCATGTGAACACTGTGTACAATTTATTGGTTTTTAATGATGTTTATTGTATATTACCTATCTCCTCGGTAGGTCAGAGACTTTTGAATAATGAACAAATAAAAATGTGTTCAGCATCGTTAGTCATCAGAAATGTAAGGCCAAAATGAAAATCCATTTCATAATCACTATGTTGGTGGAAAAAAAAAGAATTGATGACCACAAGTGCTGGCAAGAATGCAGAGCCTCTGAAACCATCACACGCTGCTCGTGCACGTGGAAGCTGGTTTAACTACTTTGGAAAATACTTTGGCACCATCTTGGAAATTTGAATATTCATTTAACAGAGTCTTGGCAGTTCCACTTCTGGGTCATCCCCTTGAGAAACTCTCACAGATGTCCTCCAGAATCCAAGTCCAGAAACACTCTCAACATCATTGTTTCTAATACAAACACTAGAAACAATGGAATGGATAAATTACAGTATATGCAGACAGACTATTATACAGAATTGATAATGAACGGACTACAGTTATGCACAATAACATTGGTGGATTAGAAACTAGTTTTGAATGAAAAAAGTAATTTTCAGGGTCACCTGGGTGGCACAGTCAGTTGAGCATCCAACTCAGCTCATGATCTCTTGCAGTCATGGGATCAAGCCCATGTTGGGCTCTGTGCTCAGCGTGGAGTCTGCTTGAGATTCTCTCTCCCTCTCTCCCTCCTGCACTCTCTCTCTCTCTCTAGTAAATAAATAAATCTCTTTTAAGTAATTTTCGAAAGACCATATACAGTATCATACTTTTTTACAAAGCTCAAATCAAGCAAGACTAAACAATATATTATTTGGGGCTATATACATATCTTGTTAAACTTGATTTCTAAAAATAAAATGATACAGATAGACTCACACAGATAGGATATAGTGCTAACCTTTGGGGGAAGAGGCCTGGAAATGAGATAGGAAAGGAACACATACACAAAAATACTACAGCATTGTCAGGGTGAGTGTTATAGATATTAGATCCATTCTTTTCTACATATCAAATAGTATTCTTGAAATTTTCAAAGTAACAAAATGTAGCTCCTTGGCAGACCCACATGGTGTAGGAGAGACTGGTTGTATGTAGAATGCCCACCGCCTTGTCCAGATCTATTGCTAGGATGACTAGCAAAAAGAAAAAACAAAAAAACAAAGCAACTCTGTGTTCCCCTCCATTTCTTTTTGATTGACATCTTTCTTCTTCTCTCCCACAGCATCTCATCTACTCTGTGAAATTTTTTGTATCCTATACCATCCCAGATGTATCAAAAAACACGAAGAGCAAGATCAGGAGAGAAAAATACTTAACCCAAAAGCTTCTTCGTGAGAATCACCTCAAAGATATGACAAAAAATATGGGGGTCATAGCTAAGAGGATGGGGGAAGTGGTAGATAACAATTTACGACCAAAATTAGAATAAGAGCTTTATGTTCTGAGAAGCACTTTACAGAATTTAACTCTGTCAAAATATATTATGAATCACTAATGAGAATGTTTAAGTTAAAACACTTTGGCAAATAGGAGTCTTCGCTATTAGCCATTTTCATAGAGATGATTTTTCCGTTTCAGCCAGCGACGCAGGACCTGGGAAATGTAAAACTTAGATCAAGAAGTGCATAAAACTAATCACCTGGAAAACCAGAAATATTACCCTTTTTTGATAAATTGGAATTTCTGTAACACAGAAAGTGTCTCGTAGTGTGCTTAAAAACCGCCCCTTCCGAAGCAGAATGGATTTTTGTCCCTCCATTTGATTATTTTCATTCCTTTCTGTTCTCAAGCACATGCTCCCCTTTTAGGCAATGTTTCATTTCTTCACTTCGCCAGATCTGTCCCAGGGTTAGCTTTCCCTAAGACTAGACAGACATGCTAGCTTTTGTGTGATTAAAAATAGCTAACTCAGAATTCGGTTTGAATGGTGTATTCAGTGGCAAATAGACCCAAGAATTCACAGTATTTAGGTGTATTAGCACATCCCTACAGAAAATGAAACCTCACTTAATAAGAGGAAATGGTTTCAGTCTTCATTTTGGCCTGTCTTTCCGATCTCAAAGAAATACTCTTAATGGATTGGAATAAAGATAGCAAGGTCCTGAAGTGTATTTGTACTAATCCACAGTGACACCTTTTATCTTCTAGGAGCACTCCTAGAATCTTCTGTGCCTAATCAATGTTGACTGCTTTGCAAATCTCAAGGGAGTAAGATGACAAAAGCGGGGAAAGTTACAGATTCAAATAGAATTGTAACTCCTATTGATCAGGATAATTTACCTCTTCTAAATATATATAGTTTCTTGGGAAGAAAATGAAATCAAGGGACTAAAGTTACATTTTTATCAGTGTAATGGTCTGGAAAGATAAGCCCATCCGTTTCCCACCAGTTGTCGGTGACTCCTCAGATCCAGGAGGGAGAGCATTAGAGCCCACAAGCACCACTGGGAACGGCTCACTATCTAGCCAGTGTGGCAGGCCAGTGCTGTGCGCGCTTAAGAGAACAGCAAGTGCTCTGTGAGGCCGTGTGGGGCGTGCCTTTCCGGCAGGGGTCCTGCCATCCAAGTGATCAACATACCAAGGCATCTGCCATGGTCAGGGTGGTTCCCCACATCCTCCATTCCCTGTTCCCAGCCCAGCAACTTTGTAACTTGCACGCACCAAGGGCTGGGTGGGAGCAGTGGTGGGGGAAGTGGAGGCAGACAGGAGCAGACCCAGATCACTCCCAGTTCAGAAAAGAGACTGGTTTTGATTTGCGCTTCCAGCCTCCCTGACTTCCTGCTGAACGCCTTTGCCACGCATATCTTGCCTTCAGTGTGTTCAGCTCAGCAGTCTTTACTGCGCTTTACTGCCTTGCGGGTGCAAGGCCCTCTGGTGGGCTCTGGAGAAGAGCCGGGGCCTGCACCGCTCACCCTTGACTGGCACCAGGGCAGGACTGGGTGCAGGAGAGGGGTCTGGCCCTGGGTTCTTGCTAGGTGGGCCACCACCCACTGCGGTGCTGCTAAACGCCCAGGTGCCGTGGAAGCCAAGCCACTCAGAATCCCAGCAGCAAAGGGAAAGGAAAGTTGTTTCATGAGCAGATTCAGAGGCTTGTTGTAAGAGAGCAGCTTCACTCAAGGTCACAGTTCTGCACGCATGCCGTGAATGTTTAAAAAACGAACAACAAAAATAGAATTTACGTAGGATCCATCAAAGCAGTATTCTGGGCTTCTGAATTGTCCCAGTGGATCAGGGGCAACATTTCACCAACTTTCTTGGTCACATGAACAATGGGAACAGAGTGCTCCCAACAAGCCACACGAGCTCTGACTGCACAGGGAGTAAGGAAGGAGTTTCTTGCAGCTGCTCAGTCCGCACAGCCCAGACCGGGTGCGTCTGGTCCTTCCCCTGCTCAACTGTGACACTGCTCCTAGCAGTGGGGTGTCACTTCCTCTCCTGTCACCTCTGCTCTTCTCCGAAGCCTAGGACTATCTCCTCGTGTTGGATTTGGCGAGTACTCACTGTTTATGGGAGCCCAGAAAAGGAAATATTCTTGCCTTATCTCCTTGTATATGCGATACAACTTTAAAAGAATTGTGCACTTACATCTTCATAAATCATCTTTCACAAATCATCTTCATAGTTTACAGTGTGCTTTTGTGGCCAGGAGGGGGGAAAGCTCTACATTTATAAAGGCAGAAAATCCGATGCATGACATGCCAGTATTCCCCAAACAGCGAAGGAGTAGGGAGCCAGGCTCCCCTGTGACACGGACAGCGTTCACGTAACTCCAGTGCTGACTGGGCGGCGGCGACGAAAAATGCGGGGCCGCGTGTGCAGGCGGGCACGGGCCGGATCGGGATATGTGTGCAGAAGCAGCACCCCAGGAAAAAGGGTGGGTGTGACGGTGCCCCCATAAGAGGAGAATCTGGCCCTCCGCCTGCCCAGTGTTAACCACTAGAGAACTTTGAGTTTTATATCCTTTTGTAATGCCTGTGAATTTTAGCAGATTGAAGCATTAGACCAAAATACTCAGGAGATTTTTAACTATCCCTCACATATTTCAGGTGTGTCGATAGAAAGGGAATGCTATCATTTTTGTTTGAAAACTAAACAAGGCCATCTTGTAAACTGTCACCAAACGCCTTGCCTTTTAATTACCCGTGCGTGCATCTGGAATTTCAGAAAACATTAGTTCACCATGGGGGGCAGAATGAGCTCTGCTATTGAAACACTTCTTGTACCGTTTCCTCATTGTGCATATTATAAGATGTTTGAAAAGTTAAAATGTTTGAGCAGCTTAACTAAACTAGAACGGAAATATTCACGATGCTTTCATACACTGCGGCATAAGATGTAAAGTTTGTAATGTTTTGTGAATTTGTGCATTTTATTATTCTTTTATAATTATGAGCATTTTAATAAATTCATTTTTCAAAACAACACTGGTCTACTCTATTTGTCTTCATGTTTTTAAGGAGAGCATATATATATATATGCTATTTATCAATTATATATCATTCATATAACAAATTGTGTGCTTTTGTGTAGATGATCTCTAAAATTATATTTTTCACAGCCTACACTTACTTTGAAACATGATTTTTCCGGGAAAAACTCGGTGTGGGGTTTCAGCCAGGGCTGCTAAAAACCAGTTGTTGGGATTGAGCCCTGCCGAGGGCACCAAGCCCGGAGAGCAGGTGGGAGCTGAAAACCAGCCCACCTCTGCTCACCACACCCGCTGAGCCGGAGCCAGGCTGCATCAGCGAGGAGGGAGAGGCACTTTACAACTGCATAAAGTTGGCTTCTGCATGCTAAATCGTGATTGCAGGGGACAGTCGCCCAGAGAGGGCAAGTCTGTAATCCCAGAAAGGCTCTGTTTGAACCTTCTGTGGCGCTGGGTACAGAAAAGGGAAACTATGGAGAAGAAGATAAAGCAAAATCTCATAAAAATCAACCTTTTTATCCTGGACAACATATCCAGATTTTAACTCTTGTTTTGTTTTGGGGATTTGCGGGGAGGGTTTTTTGTGTTTTTTTTTTTTTTTTCTGTTTTATTTTTTGCCAGCTTAAATCTCATTAGGCTTCTAAGAAAACTCTAAATCGAATATAATCCATAACTGGACCAACGGCAAGAAGTCTTTTCTGATCCTTATGTGATACCCTCGGGGCCAGTACTAATGTTATTCTTACTTTTAAGCCTTTTAAGTCCAGCAAAGGACTGATCAGAATTTCATTTAAGCTAAATACCCCCTCTCATTTGCAGGGAATGATGAGATAATACAGCTGACCCTACAATAACACCTGTTTGAATGTCACAGGTCCACTTATACACAGATTTTTTTTTAAGATTTTGTTTATTTGAGAGAGCTCATGCTAGCAGGGGGAGGAGCAGAGGGAGCACAAGCGGACCACGCTGAGCACAGAGCCTGACACGGGGCTTGATCTCAGGACTCTGAGATCATGACCAGAGCCGAGATCAAGAGCTGGTCACTAAACCAACTGAGCCACCCAGGCGCCTCTACACAGATTTTTTTATAATAAAATTTTAATAAATACAGTACTATAAATGTATTTTCACTTCCTTATGATTTTAACATTTTCTCTGGCTTACTTTATTGTAAGAATAGAGTATATAATATACAAAATATGTGTTAATTGGACTTTGGCTTCTGGTCCAAGATGGCAATGTAGGAAGACCCTGAACTCATGTCTTCCACAGACACACCAAACCAACACCTAGTTATAGATCAATTCCTCCTGAAGAACTAAGGACTGACCGAACAGCTTCTGCACAACAAAAGACCACAAAGAGACACAGACAAACCCCCACCCCCATTGCAAACTGCCGTGAGGAGGGATAGTTCAGAGGGACCATAAGCAGATTGCATCTGCCCTTGAACGTAGGAAAAGGCCACTGTTTACAATACAAAGGCAACCAGAATATACAGGAACCAGCCCTAGAACCCTGTCAAATGGGAGGGGAGCTGCTGGAACTCTCCAGGTCAGAGGGGCTGGTGAGCCCCATAGTTTGCATTCACCCTCTACCTGGACAGCACAGACAAAAGCAGGGTCAGAGTGTCAAAGCCAGTCTCAGCAAGGCCTGGACCCCCAGCCCACATCAGCCTCAAATGCCCCAGGGAACAGAAAAAAAAAAAGCCACAGCTTAAAGCAACTAGAATATAAAGGATCCAGCCCTAGAATTCTGCCAAATGGCAGAAAAGCTGCTGAAACTCTCTCCACGTTGGAGGAGCTGGGTTACATTCCTTCTCCTTCACCTGACAATGTGGACAGGAGCGGGGTCTGGGCACACTAGCAAGCCTACCACCTCAGTGAGCCCCAAGCCCACACCAGCCCAGCTGTCCCACCAAGGTGACCCCCTGCTTGAAGCACACCAGGACACCCCTGCTCAGCACTCACTATAGCTCCAGCCATCTCACCAAGGTGATACAGGTGCAAAGCACCCCAGAACACTCCCAGTTCACACCACTTTGGCTCTAGATGACTTGCCAGGGTGCCCCCAGCTCTCACTGTGGCTCTAGACAGTTTACCAAGGCTCTCTTTGTGTGGAGTGCCCTGGGACCTCCCCTCCACAACCATGCTTTAGCCACACTGCTGGAGTGCCCCTGTGTCCCAGGACACCCCAACCCACGCCCACCCTGGCTCTAGCTGCCCTGCCATGGCACCTGCCATGCAGCATCCCAAAACACCCTGGCTTACACCAACTTCAGCTTCAGCTGTTCTGTGGGGGCACCCTCTGTGCAGAGCCCCAGGAAACCCCAGCTCGCACCTATTTTCAGTAGTCTTGCCAGGGTGCCCTCTTCACAGAGAGCCCCTGGACCCTCCAGTTTGCATCCACTTCAGCTGTCTGGCCAGGTTGCCCTCTGCCAAGAGCCCCAGGACTGCCCTGGCTCATGCCCACTTCATCTCTGGCTCCAGCCAGCCAACCCACCAAAGTCACCAGGCACACGTCTACACAGGGATGACCATGTACAAGATCATTCCTTCTAGTTTAGGCAAAGTAGCTATTCTCCCTAATTTATAGAAATAAATACAGAAAGTCAAGCAAAATGGGGAGATAGAGGAATATGCTCCAAATGAAAGAACAAGACAAAACCTAAATGAAATGGAGATAAGCAATGTGCCTGATAATGAGTTTGAAATAATGGTCATAAAGATGCCCACTGGACTAGAGAGAAGAGTGGATGAACTCAGTGAGAACTTCAACAAAGAGAAAATATAAATATTTGAAGAAAATATAAGTATTGAAGAATATAGTAACTGAAATAAAAAATACACAGAGGGAATCAACAGATTAGTGGATGCAGAAAAACAGATTAGTAATCTGGAGGATAGGGTAATGAAAAGTGTCCAAGCTGAACAGCATGAAGAAAAAAGAATTTTTTTTTAAGAAAAAAGTTTTAAAAATAGGCTAAGGTATCTCTTGGACAACATCAAGTGAACAAACGTTTGCATGATAGGGGTCCCAGAAGGAGAAGAGAGAGAGAAAGGGGCAGAAAATTTATTTGAAGATATAACAGTTGAAAACATCCTTAACCCGGTGAAGAAAACAGACATCCACATTTAGGAAGTACAGCGAATTCCAAACAAGATGAACCCAAGGAAGTCCACACCACAAACTATAAAAATTAAAATGTCAAGGATTAAAGACAAAGACAGAATTTTAAAAAAACATCAAGAGAGAAGCAATTAGCTATGTACAGGGGAAACCTCATAAAGCTATCAGTTAATTTTTCAGTAGAAACTTTGCAGGCTGGGCATAGGGGTGGCATGATATATTCAAAGTGCTGAAAGGAAAAAAGTTACAACCAAGAATACTCTACCTGGCAAGGTTATCATTAAGAAAGAATGAAAGGAGAGAGAAAGTTTTTCTAAGACAAAAACAAATTTTTTAAAAACCCCCAAAATAGTTAAAGGAGTTCATTACCACTAAACCAGCCTTATGAGAAATGTTTAAGGGACTTCTTTAAGTAGAAAAGAAAAAGCCATAATTACAAGTAAAAAGTTATGAAAGAAAAAATGTCATAAGTAAAGCAAACATACAGTAAAGGTAGTAGAGCAAACACTTATAAAGCTAGTATAAAGGTTAAAGACAAAAGTAGTACAATCAGTTATACCTAAAAAAATTAGGTAAAGGGACTAACAAAATAAAAAGTTGTAAAATATGTCAACATATACATGAAAATGGAGGGGAAAGTAAAAATGAAATTCTTTTGGAATGTGTTTGAACTTCAGTGACACCATCAACTTAATAGAGACTGCTATATACTTAGGATGTTATATATGAACCTCACAGTAACTACAAACAAAAAGTCTATAATAGATACAAAAAAAATAAAGAGAAAAAAGGCAACCATAACACTAATTAAGTCATCAATCACAAGGAGAGGAGTAAGAACAGAACAGAGTAGAACTACAAAAACAACCAGAAAACAATTAACAAGATTTCAGTAAGTACATGCCTATAAATAATTATTTTAAATGTAAATGGTCTAAATGCTCCATCAAAAGACATAGGGTGACAGAATGGATTAAACAATAACAACAACAAAAAGACTCATCTTTATGCTGCCTACAAGAGACTAACTTCAGACCTAAAGACACATACAGACTAAAAATCAAGGGATGGAAAATGATATTCCATGCAAATTGTAGAAGAAAAAAGCCAGGGTAGCAATAGTTATATCAGACAAAATAGACTTTAAAACAAAAACTGTAACAAGAGACAAAGAAGGGCATGACATAATGATAAAGGGATCAATCTAACCAAAACATATAACAATTATAAATATCTATGCACCCCACATAGGAGCACCTAAATACATAAAGCAACTATTGACAGATACAAAGAGAGAAATTGACAGTAATAGTAGGAGACTTTAATACTCCTTGTACATCAATGGCTAGATCACCCAGGCAAAAAAAAAAAAAAAAGATCAATAAGGAAAGAGTGTTTTTGAATGACACATTTAGACTAAATGGACTTAACACTTATATACAAAACATTCCACCCCAAAACAACAGAATAAACATTCTTTTCAAGTACACATAGAACATTCTCCAGGATAGATCACATGTTAGGCCACAAAGTAAGGTTCAATTTAAGAAGATTAAAGTCATATCAAGCATCTTTTCCTACCACAACAGTATGAAACTAGAAATCAATTACAAAAAAAAGAAAACACACCACATCAAGTTTAAACAACATGCTACTAAATAACCAATTGGTCATTGAAGAAAGCAAAGAGGAAATAAAAAAATACATGGAGACAAATGAAAATGAAACACAATGGTCCAAAATCTTTGGGACAGAGCAAAAGCAGTTCCAAAAGGAAAGGTTATAGTGATACAGGCCTACCTCAAACAAAGCAAAACAAAAAACAGAAAACACACAAAGAAAATTTTCAAATAGTCAATCT